TTCTTCAGCTGCCGTAGAAAGTACATCCTCTGTTGAGCTTTCTTGGTGAGGGAGCTGATGTTCAATTCCCACTTGAGGTCCCGGGAGAGAATAGTGCCCAGGAAGCGGAAGGACTCTACAATTTTTACTGGGGAGTCTAACAGGGTGATGGGGGTGAGTGGTGCTGTATTCTTCCTGAAGTCCACAACCATCTCAACTGTCTTTAGAGCATTTAGCTCTAAGTTGTTCTGGCTACACCAGGTCACCAGATTGTCAGCTTCCCACCTATAGTCAGACTCATCCCCACCAGAGATCAGCCCAATGAGGGTGGTGTCATCCGCAAACTTCAATAGTTTGACGGACAGATGATTGGAGGTGCAGCTGTTGGTATACAGGGAGAAGAGCAGAGGGGAAAGGACGCAGCCCTGAGGAGTTCCGGTGCTGATGGACCTGGAGCCAGAGACTTGTGTTCCCAGCTTAACGCACTGCTTCCTGTCAGACAGGAAGTCTGTGATCCATTTACAGGTGGTGTATGGCACGTTCAGCTGGAAGAGCTTGTCCTGAAGCAGGGCAGGGATGATGGTGTTGAAGGCAGAGCTGAAGTCCACAAACAGGATCCTGGCGTAGGATGCTGGGGCGTCCAGATGCTGTAGGGTGAAGTGGAGGGCCATGTTAACTGCATCGTCCACAGACCTGTTGGCTCTGTAGGCAAACTGAAGGGGGTCCAGGAGAGGGTCTGTGATGGCTTTGAGGTGTGCCAGGACCAGGCGCTCAAAAGACTTCATTACCACAGATGTAAGGGCGACCGGTCTGTAATGGTAAACTGATAATACAGTCGCCATGATTCACATAGTGTGCGTAGGGCCTTCATCTAGCAGTGAATTGACAACGGGATTTAAATCAATGTAATTGTATGACCATGCACGGAGATGCCTCATACAAAAAAAATCACCGGAGGACAGTGACTCTGTAAACAGAATATCAGAATCAGAATATAACCTCACCTTGGGTTTTCCAATCACGGAGAGTCAAAAAACAATTCAATCAACGCACATCATCGGTCTTTGGCAGGGAGAGATGATGACCCGGTAGTTGAGACTTGCCTGAATGAGAAAACGAGCCCAGGGAGCAACATTCACCGTGGAGATGGAGCAACGAAATCGGCTCGCGTGCAGACGCCAGGTGGATTTGGTGAATCGCGTGGTGATGACTTGGAGAGACCTCCACCGAGCAGTGGTTGTTGATTATGGTAATGATGATGATGACTATACAAAACGTGCTATCCAATTCAGGAACACTTAAAAATTAGGCAATGTCCAACCTTTGTTACAAAGCAAAGAAACAGTTTAACACGTAAGCTGTCGCGACCAATACCATCCATAATACAGGTTTATTGGCTTAGAACATATAAATGCGTCGTTAAACCCGCCAACACCCGACACAGCCAATTAGTAAGGTTTGTCACGTAAAGAGAACATGCCAATGCGTCGCTAGTACAGCACACCTGTGTGTTCGAGAGCAAATCCACAGCATTTACTATCTGAGTACGACGTTTTTTTTTTCCAGTAATGACAACTGGCATCGTCAAGCGGCAGCCAGAGCAACATTCACAATCACGTGATCTTTATGGCGCTACCCCGGAGCACCAAATAATACAAAATGGCCGAGGCAATTAAATATTTTATTTCTGGGACACTATTTCTTCCAGGGGTGGACTTAACTCCGCGACTGGGGTACCAATCAACCTGAAATCAGTGCTACTCCACGACGCGAAATGCTAAACATTAACATAAAAAAAAATCTGTTATCGAAAATTTCAACTTTGAATAGTGCATCGTGTACAGCTCGCCGAGATGAGTTTATGATTGCTGCATCGCCGACCATCAACAGACTAAAAATGACTGCATCACGGACATTATACGAGAGCCGGGGTACTATGGTACAGCTATAAGGTTCAATTGGCCGTACTGACACGAGACTGTAATCCTTTTACGCGACATCACGCAGAAAATAATCAACCTCGCAACCCTGTCAGCCCAAATATCAGATTTGTATCGTTTTTTTTATAATTTCCTTTTTGCCGATGTGATACATTAAAATGAACTCTACAACGCTACTTGCCTCTGAATCTAACCACGCACGGCTAAACCTTGACGACAACCAATTGCAGGCGCTAACAGCCGACACTTTCCATCCTCTGACCGAACTAAGAACGCTCAGCTTCGCGACGAACCAACTGTCGGCTCTACCACCAGAAGTGTTTGATTGTCTTGAACACACACTGGCTCTGAAACGCAAATAGTGACTATGTACTATTTTTTTTATCTGTAGGGCACCACTGAGCGATGTACCTGGGTTTTTTTTCAGAAGCGACCTGGCTATCACAAACGATAGCTCAATGAAGTGGCATATCGCGTGCAAATTTATTGCAGCCAAATACAATAGACGTTGATTCTAAATGCGGAGTGGGAAAAAACTGGTGGACAAGGAGAAAAATCCACGCGACCACGGGGAGAGAGACACACGACCTCCTGCATCCCATCTCGCCACGGCGGCGCCCCTGCAGGCCAGGCACCTCAGCTTTGAACAATGGAAAACCTCACCTTGGGGTTTCCAACGTGTAAAATGCACGTGGATTCTGAAGAGTACCCATCTAGTGACAGTCTAGGACTGGTGCCTTAAACACTATCTCCAAGCCAAAATATACAGCAGGCGTCAGGGTTGGGATCAAACCCACGACCTCCTGTATGCCAGGTGAGGGAGATAACATCTCGACACCGAGGCGCGAATGACGCCTTCTGATGACTTCTGGCCAAACCTCATTTGGTGGAGTCAGACCGAACCACCCCACCACCAAAAACAGAAATCTACTGCGTTGGCCACGCGGAATGTCCAAACGTTCGCTGCAGAGAGGCTGCCGTTCTTGGGTCAGAAGCTGGACCAGTACTGTCTAGACCTCTGGAATACAGGGGGTCCGGTTAACTGGTTTGGCTCTGGTCACCATAAAGCAGTGGTTCTAAGAGTGTGATCCCCCGATCGCCGAGCGGTCCGCGATGGTCCTCCAGGAGAGGCAAATTGCAGGTTGATCCGGAAATTATGACGATGTTTATACTTTTTGTTTCGGGCATTAATTCATATTTTAGTGATGACATTTATCTTAAAACGAAGTTAGGTAAACTCCCGGTTTAAACTACCCTAACATAAGATCGAAATGCCCCACTAAAAAAACAACCTTGTGAGCTGCGTATATAAAAACACATGCGTTTTTCATGTAATATGAATAATTTTGCACTCGTGGTATTTCGAGATAAGTGAATGCGTTTTATCTGCAGGGGGTGTGGCCCGGGCGGTGCACGGAAATATTCACATGGGCTGAGCGGTCTGCGAGCCAAGAAAACAGTTTGAGAAACACTGCCATGAAGGGTGGAAAAATCCTCCACTGGGTCCAGGAAACGGCCAAGCAACAGGGAGCGGCTCTTGTTCTGAACAAAATAATTTCGGGGGTATGGGAGCGCGGAGACGAGGTGTGGGGAAGTTGTAAGTACCAGGCTACTGTGGGTTCACCTCCGCATCAACGGGAGTCGAGGAATGGTGGTGGTGACTTATACTGCGACAGAAGATTAAATCAGTCGAGGGATGCAGACAAGGCTGATAAGTCAGCCTGCTATGACTTACTGTCGTGGGCACTGGCTAAAGTGGGTGATTTTATAGTTCAATTGGAAGTAATGGGCCAGATAAATAATAATAACTAGCCTTTTGCCCGTCCAAGGACGGGTGTATTGCAGTAAATCTGCAACTTGCAAGCGAAAAGCAGATCGCGACGTAATATTCATTGCATTAATAGGTGTGCAATTTGTAAGGGCGCGGTGACACAGACCTATTTCATTTTAAGGTTATAATCCCTTGTTCATCGTGATGTATTTTTTTTACTTTTAAGTCTCAACAGCGTTACGGAGATCGCGTGACGTGAGGGTTCTGCCTTTGTAGTGAGGGTTGTAAGTTGACTCCGAGGGGGGGGGGGGGGAGAAGCCGAGGAGGCCCCTCTGCCCCCCATGTGGAGTGACGTCAGCCGATAGTTGTTATGAATGGCGGGGGAGGGGGTCCATTTGGAGGACGTCACCTTATAATGATTATTAATGACGGGGGGTCCATATGGAGGACGTAACCTGCTCATGATTATTAGTGAGGGGGGGGGGGAGTACTCTATATTGAGTGACGTCACCGTACATGATTATTAATGAGGAGGCATGGGGGGGTGTCCATTTAGAGGACGTCACCTGCTCATGAATATGAATTAAGGGGGCTGGCTGATCGATGTGGAGTGACGTCACGAGCGTTAATGGCAGACATTCCTGGGTGATTATAGTAGGTATAATAGTAGGAGGCTGCCGGACTTCTGTGCAACCCATGGACTTTAAATCACCGACTAAGTTGTTCGTATTCAGCGCATCCACGCCACATCATGGATGCATACAGGATCTAAGCAAGAACATCCGCTGGACTACATGGGGACGGAACAGCGGATGCGGGCCCATGTCCTTGACATCAGCACCTACCGTGGAGCTGATCTGCACGCTGATGATCGGCTTGTCATCCTGTACAAGCTGAATATGGACAATGATAAATGTTGGATTCAATCGATTGAGGGCATAGCAGCGACACTGGTGGTGGCATCTGCCAGTCGCCTCAGTCCACCCATGGCACCTGGATCTGTCCCGTGAACTCCTGCCAGCAGCGAGCCTTGCAGACTTCAGGTGGCCTCAGGGGTGAGCGGGAGGGATGGGAGGGGAAGGGGGAAGAGTGAGGGAGGGGGGAGAGGGAGGGGGAGAGGGAGGGAGGGGAGGGAGGAGAGGGGGGAGATAAGGAAGGGGGGAACGTGGGAAGGGGCGGGAGGGGGGAGGGAGGGAAGGGAGGGGGAGGGAGGGAAGGGAGGGGGAGGGAGAGAAGGAATGGGGAGGGAGGGAAGGGAGGGGGAGGGAGGGAAGGAAGGGGGAGGGAGGGAAGGTGCGGGCTGCTAGTTTAAAAACAATAAAAGGTGTTGTGGTTGTGTTTCGAGGTTTCCTGCACACGAGGGCTGCAACGTTTGGAGTGGTGGCGGTGGGCGGCAGAATCGGAGCAGCTTTGGCCGATGAAACCGCGCGCCTCCCGCGGGGGTTGAGTTCAAAACAAGTGGCGCGCACGCTGACCAGTGTCACCATGTGGCTCTCCACAACCGCGTTCATCCTCTCCGCAGTCTCTCTGGCTGCCTCGGGTAAGCCCGCGCGGTCTCTTTCTCTAAACTTCCCGCGTGATGGCAGCCGGTCCTCGCCACAGTGCGGGTGTTGACAGCGAGACCAACAGAGTTCAGTACAATTGTCTGGCCCGGTTGGCTCAACTTTCTGCTGACCGAGTCACCCTTGAAAAAAAAACGTACAGCTCAGTGGGTTCTTTGCTCGGATAATAAACTTCTGAAACTTTCCATTGGAATGTCGCGAGTCAAAAATCCAGGTTTGAGAGGAATTGACTCGGCCCATAATCCCTCCACGGTTGATAACATAAAAAAACACTTTCTGCTGAAGTCATCAGTGGTTTGTCCTTATACTTTGTCCCCACAAGAGGAATGTGGCATTTCCACAATTGGCTCAAGTTTTTAGGCAAGTGATGAACATCTCCAATGGCTCATTTTAGAAGTACTATAAATAATTGTACCTTTTTTCAGATTGTGTGGTGGGATTTAAATGCATGTTGCAAATGAACTGAGCAAGGCGCTGTGCACATTTAGAAACGTGCATTGATATTATTTTGCTGCAAAAAATGTCCATGTGATGATAAGCCACTTTGTTGAGCTATCATTTCCCGTCGGGTCGCTTCTGCAAAATAAGTTGATACCTCCGTGGACTTTGACTGGTCAGATAAAAAAGTAGTTTAGTTTGACGTGTATATTTTTGAAGTGATTCGTTTACCTTTCCTATACTTTACACATTTGAGTGTTTTTGTATTGTCTTGTTGTAACTTTCTGACCGACTGGACATCTGGAAAATAGCTTTATAGCTCATCGGATTCCTCAAGTATAAATCAATATTCTGATTCTAATATTTTATTTACAGAGTCATTGTCCTCTGGTGATGTTCTTTTTTTGTATAATAAATATCTCCGTGCATGGTCATACAATTGCATTGATTTAAATCCCGTTGTCAATCCACTTGTGGATTAAGGCCCTCCGCACACTCTGTATGATCAGTTAACCGTACCTCACCATGATGGGGTGCCACGGTGGCGAGATGTTCACTACCTCGCTTGGTATACGGGAGTTCGTGAGTGAGTGAGATCCCGACCCCGACGCCTGCTGTATATTTGCAGTTTACATTTTCTCCCCGTGGTAGTCGGTGGATTTTTCTTCAGGTCCTCTGTTTTTTCCCTCCACATTTAGTATCAACATGTGTTTAGAACATTTGGCTGCTATACATTTCCACATGATAAGCCATCACTTGTAACCAGGTCGCTTCTGTAAAAGAGCTATTGTATATAGCTCAGTGGGGCTTACCTGATCAAATAAATAGGAATAGTTTGCATGTTTAACACAAGTCTTTAGTTCATAGTTTAGAGTTTAGACATTGCTCGGTCGATGAAAATGAGCACCACTTTGAGAATCCAACAGTTTATTTCAGTAGATGATGGGTCTCCGCCATAGGCATGTGGAGTCGCCAGTATAACTGGCTCGGCACCAGGCGTGGCCTGTCTGGCATCAGCCGCTATTCTCTTATTTCTAAAATGCACGACGACGATTATGGTGAGTATTGTAATATAATCGGTGAGCAATTGTTCTAACAACCCATAATAGAGGTTTTTTGGGGTTAGATCGCGTAAATATAATAATGTGTCGTTAAAACCCGCCACCACCCGACACAGCCAACTAGTAAGGGTTGTCACGTAAAAATAACATGCCCATTCGTTACTAGTACAGCACAGCCAACATTTACAAACTGAGTACTCAGATTGTAAATGTTGTGGCTTGGCTCTCCAACACACCGGTGTGCTGTACTAGTGACGGATTGGCCACGTTCTGTTTACGTGGCAACCCTTACAAGTTGGCTGTGTCGGGTGGTGGTGTGTTTTAACGACACGTATATTTACGCGATCTAACCCAAAAAACCTCTTATGGATGATATTGGTCGCAAAAGCCAACGTGTTAAACTGTTCTAACAATCTTACAATGATGCCAGTAAATAGTGTATCATATCGTACGACTATGCACATTTTTTTTTATAGATGTATAACAGTAGAGTTTGCCGCACTGCAATTTACTGCCCATGACGTGTCGCCAAATGCAAGAATTATCCAAGGGTAACCCCTGCTTAGCTAGCATGATGAGATATATAAACTATGAACTCAACTATTTTTATTTTACTATGTAAAAAGGCCCACTGAGCTATATTTGTCTTTTTCAGAAGCGACCTGGCCACAAATGATAGGTCAACGAAGCGGCTTATCATCATGTGGAAATTTATAGCAGCCAAATACTCTAAACGCATGATGTCCATTCTAAATGTGGAGGTGAAAAACCCGGAGGGTCCTGGAAAAAGATCCACGCGACCACTGGGAGAGAGAGACACGCAAACTCCAAATATATAGGGGGTCAGGGTCAGGATTGAACCCACGCGCTCCTGTGTACCAGGAGAGGTAGTTAACATCTCTGAGCCACCGTGGCACCCCATTGAATTTGCGGCTCATTTTCACTTTTGAACGTATTGGTAGTACACCCCTGGTGCACGGTATAAAAAAGCATGTTTTTGCCAACAATCTTGGTGGTGGTGCGTCAAAATCGGTTCTTGTAATGCCAGAGAGGTCAAAAAACGAATGTCAGTTCACATCTTGATTTTTAGAACTGTTTTACGAGGACCGGTGCATTGCACTGCACCGGTGTACCACCAATACATCCGTTTGGCAAAATTTGGATGGTAATGCTGGCAAATACAATGACCCGCTCTCCCTCGCGAATGCCATCCACGGGGTATTTATACATTTTAAAGTCCTACTGTGAAGCAGACCGCTCGTGATATTTCGACGCGCTGCCACTGGGCCACGTCACCGTCCCAATGTCGAACGAGCCTCGTGTGATGGTTTCCACGTATTTAAATAAATACAGTTATTTAAATAAACATATTTTTTATAAAGTTAATTAAATAAACACATTTAATAAATAAATTGATGTTTTTTTTCCCTGCACGTCCGATTAGCACAGTTGACAACGTAACAAGTTCAATTTACATACATACGTACTAACTACTATACACTACACTACTTTATGCTACAGTATACACTACACTACTATACACTACACTATAAACTACTACACACTACACTATTATCACCATGTCACCTTGTGCCATAGGGTCGAGAACGACCTCTGGTGATATCCACACCTGTCTCTCGCTGCCTCTCGTAGCTGGGTTAGTAGTGCAAGGCCAGCGGTGTTCTTGATGTCGTCCATCCACCTCCTCCGAGGTCGACCTCTGTCCCTGCTACCTTCTCTATTCCCAAGCAACACCGATTCCTCTCGTCCAGAGGTCCTCATTTCGTGTCCAAACTATGTCAAATTCTGCTTCACGAATAAGGCATCGAGTGGCACAGTGGGACCGATCACTGTCAGGTCGGACATGTTTGATATTTTGGCTGTCCATCATGGTATACGTCACACTCATCTCCTGCACCACATCTCAAATGCGCTGATCCTCTTTCGCTCACTCAATCTCGGTGTCCACGACTCGCATCCATGTAAGGCAACAGGGAATACCAGAACTTTGACAAGCCTCTTCTTGGTGCTTATGTTAATGCCCATATCTTATTGAGCTGTGACGTTGCTGTTCTAAAGAGAACGAGCCACCGTCTGATTTTGTAGCTACACTCCCCGTCTTCAGCAAGCAAGAAGCCCAGGAATACAAAGATCTTCACAAATTCAATTGAATCATTTTGCAGACTAAATGAGTTCAGTTGTTCTGTTGCCATCACCTTCGTCTTTTGGAGATTGAGTCAGAGTCCAACCTTCTCACTGGCTTCTTTAATATTTACCAACCGGGTCATCATTGCAGCTTGGCTATTTGTTGGTAGGGTGGTATCATCAGCACATCTTAAGTTGTTTATTATTCTGCCTCCAATCAACATGCCTGCTTCGATGGAATCCAGACCTGCCTCTCGTATGATATGCTCACTCTATAAATTGAACACGTAAGGAGACCACATACAGCCATGTCTTACTCCTTTGCCAATGCCAAATTCTTGTGTCTCCCCATACTCTGTTCTTACCGTTGCTTTTTGGTTGCATATAGATTACGTAACATGCACACAAGGTGAGTTGGAATTCCCATTTTCTTCATTGTAATCCACGTCAATTCGTGGTCCACACAATCAAAGCTTTGCTGTAGTCAATGAAGCAGGGGTACAGCTGTTGCCGGTATTAATTTGATCTTTCCATGATCCCTCTGATGTTTGCAAATTGGTCCTTTGTTGCTCTTCTTTTCCTGAAGCCTGCTTGAACATCCAGTAGTTTTATTTCTACGTAGCTCTCAATTCTATGTTGAATAATCTTTAATAAAACCTTCCTGGTATGGGATATGAGAGCTATAGTACGCTACTATACACTAGACTATACACTACACTACTGTACACTCCGGGTAGTACGGTTGGCTATGCATGGTGCGGAAGAAGTTCAACATACATACAAACCCCTATGTACTACACTACTATATACTACACACTATACTACTATACACTAGACTATACACTACACTAATATACACTCTAATTAGTTTGGTTGGCTATGTACGGTGCAAAAGAAGTTCAACACAGACACACACACACATAGATGGTGAGTGAGACTCGCCACTGCGACGTGTTGTGGCATGTTGTACGCGAAGACGATCTGTAGGCAAGACAGAACTTGCAGGATGTGAGGTGCCCTCGCCCCTGGACGCTGGTGGGTTGTTGTTGTTGTTGTTTTTTGGAAAAGAAAACCACGAGCTCGCGTTTTCAACATTTGTTATTTTCTCATCTTCGGAGAAGACGTTTCCCTCCGCGTGTCTCGGGAAAAAAAAACTCTCGAGACCTTCGCGTGGAGCGAGAATAATTGAAACGCGAACCCCGCGGATGTGACGGGGAAGCCGCTTGTAATTGTTTTAGACGATAAATATTCGGCACATGGAAAATGCTACACTGAGATAATTAAGTTGGCAATTGGATTTTTTTTAATGAAGCTATAACGGCAATAGGCATTTACCAAGATGACAATAATTGCCCGAGCAGTGGCGCGGTGGTTGACACATCATGATATGAACCCAGGCAACTTAAGTTTGATTTCCAGCCACGGCTAACATCTGTGACGAGTGGGTACCTCAACTGTTTCTTGGTCCTCTTTTCATTAATCCGCACTGAGCAGCGTGGGGAGGTCTTTATCCAACAGTGGATTGACAAAATGGCTGAACATTTAAATTAGTCTGAAAGTTACTCATCTTATAAAAAATGGCATTAATTCAGCGGCGTTCGAGTTTTATTGATATTTTTGCGTTGGGACGTGTCTTCGGCGAATCTGATAAGTTGCATTGGTTTGACTGTTGAAAGTTTTTGCATTTACACTAAACAGCAATAATTCTCAACAAGGTTCGGTGTGACTTATGCAATTTCAGGCAACCGACATGTTGAGGGCAGGTCTGCATCCAGCGGTGAATTTTCAAAGGCAGAAATACAATATTTGGTATTTATAATTCTAATTACATTCCTAATAATAAAAACGGCAAGTGTAAATGTTGCATCTTCATTCATGTTTGAGGGTTATTTTGATGCCCTTTGGGATTGATCACTGTGGCAAATTAGTATGATTTTTTATGTTTTATTTCATCTAAATTATTGCCGCTACACAGCGTCTAGAGATGCTTCTCGTATAAAGACGCTATTATTATTATTGTATTGCTGCTTTGAGAGGCATTCTAGTCACACACACACACTCTCCCCCTTCTATAACCCTCACCACTACCCACCGACCATGCCGTCTCTCACTCAAATCTACTCGCCTTTAGACCAGAGTTTGCCAGGTCTCATGGGTCAAAGAGAGTGTCACTACTGGCCTTTAAAACACAAGCCCCAAAATAAGCTCAAAGCCTGTGCCCTGGAGGAAGAGGGGAGCCTATAGAGAAATGAATGGGGCCTAAATATCAAGTGGGGGGGGGGGGGGGGCTAAAGAGAAATGGGCGGGCCCTAAAGAGGTAGAGTGGGACCTAAATATCAAATGGGGGGCCGAGATAGAGATGGGCGGGGTCTGAAGAGGAAGGGGTGGGGTCTAAACTATTAAACATGTTTTTCTTCATTTTACCAGGTAAGTCCCACTGAGCTATGTAGTTCTTTCAAAGTTAACCGAGCCACAAATGACAGCGCAACAAAGTAGCTTAATGACGTGGAAATTTAGAGCAGCCAAATATTCTAAGCGCATGTTTCTAAATGTAAATAAATACATAAACACTGCTCATGAAAATATATTATTTGGAAGTTGATTGAAGCAGTTCCATTGTTGATCCTAACCTGTATCAGCTGCAGATTTTAATCACGTTGTAAATGTTACCCTGGTTGTCTTGCTTGTAAATTGTGTATTTTTATCAGATTGGGCAACATAGTCCTTTCTATTTCTAAGCTATTCTATTCATAATAAAGGTTTTTGGGTTAGATCGCGTTTATTTATAAATGTGTCGTAACCCTCCACCACCCGACATGGCCAATCAGCAAAGAAAAGTGTCACGTTGACAAAAGACAAATAATTCACTACTTCAGCCCACCAGTGTGTTGAAGAGTTAATCCACATTTACAGTTTGAGTACGACGTTTCGCTGGTAAATACTTCCAGCATCATCGGGCAATTCGCCAGAATGGTAAAGCCCTCGCTTGCTCCCGGTTTTATATAGAGCAGAAGAGTGACGTCATCACTTAACTCATCAGGTGCAGTGATTAGAGGCGGAGGGGGGGTAATGTAATTATATAATCGATTAGTAATCAGTCATTGGTTATGATTAGTAATGAGTTGTAGATTAGTAATTCTTTAAATCAAAATGTAATGTGTATTATTTAATAATACGCTTCCAGGCCGCACTAAGCCGGTAGCTGTCAGAGCGATTAAAGTTATTCTTGTTCCTCTCAATTTCAATGGATTCTCTAATTAGTCTTTGCCAGTAATAATTAGTTTTACACACCACTGCAACATTGTCAAAATCAATTGAGTGTCCTTGTTGACAAGCATGTTCTGCCACTGCCGACAGTTGTGTTTGAGATAATTTAATATTTCTCTGATGTTCTTTTAGTCTTACGCTGATGTTACGTCCCGTCTGCCCAATGTAGCAGCTGCCACATGAACAATTAATCCGATATACACCTTCTGTTGATAGTTTAGGTAATGCGTCTTTAGTGCAAGATACTAGTTTTTGAATTTTGTGTACTGTACCAAATCTTACTGTAATGTTTTGCTTTTACAAAACGCGGGCTAATTTGTCAGTTACTCCTGAGATATATGGAATTTTTATTGTTTTAACAATCTGGTCGCTTTCAGTAGTATTGCTTTGCGATCGTGATTTGGCATTCAGTGCTCTGTTAATTTGAGCATTATTGTAGCCATTCTGTCGTAGTGCGTCTTTAACGTGTTTAATCTCTCTCACTAGACTCTCACCATCTGACACTGTTTTCGCCCAATGTACGAGCGTCTTGATAAGAGAGGATTTTTGAGCTGGATGATGATGTGATTCTGCATTCAGATAGGCATCAGTGTGCGTTTGCTTTCTGTAAACGCTATGTGTTATTTTACCGTTTAGGCCATGTCCAAGCAAAATATCTAGGAATGGGAGTGTGTTATTCACCTCCATTTCCATTGTGAACTGGATGGCCGGGTTTTGTGCATTGAGATGATTTAGAAAATCATTAAGTGTATCTTTACCATGTGGCCAGACAACCAAAGTGTCATCCACATACCTAAACCAAAAGGATGGTTTTAATGTGCTCGAGGCAAGTGCTCTTATTTCAAAGTTTTCCATGTACAAATTTGCTATAGCAGGGGATAAAGGAGAACCCATTGCTGCTCCTTCCGTTTGTTTAAAGAAATCTCCTCTCCATAAGAAGTAAGTGTTATTTAAACAATGGCCAGCAAGTTTCGGAATATCTGTTTGTAAACCGGTATTCTTTACTAGTGTATCAAGTAATTTAAGCGATTCGTCCACTGGAACCTTAGTGAATAGAGAAATCACATCAAAACTTACCAGAATATCATCAGGAGTAAGTTTAATATCTTTAATCACATTCACAAGATGTTCTGAATTTTTTTATGAATGAAGATGTCTTACCGATGTAGGGCTGTATTTGTTTGGTTATATATTTTGCTAATTGATATGTGGCAGAGCCAATTGTACTGACTATGGGTCGTAATGGGATGCCGATTTTATGAATCTTTGGTAGCCCATAGAGTCTAGGTGGTTTTGAGGCCCTTGGCTTAATTAGGTATTGCTCATTTTTTAGGGATTAATGAATTTGCAATTATTGCAGTGGTCTTACGTTCTAAAGTATTAGTTGGATCTCGTTTAATTTTAATGTAGGTACTTTCCTCTAGTAAATTTCTAATTTTATTATCATAATCGGCTCGTGACATCACTACAGTAGTGCGGCCTTTATCAGCTGCTAGGATTTGGATATCCTTATTTACACGCAGCTCTCTTAAGGCTTTTGCCTCGTTAGAGCTAATATTTACTTTTGGAACTTTGCTATTCTCAATTATTTTAGCAACCTCATGTCTAGTCATCTCTGCCTCATTATGTGGAAGGAGTCTAACTGCTGATTCTACCTCAGCAATTATCTCATCCACTGGAATTGTGCGTGGGGTAACGGCAAAGTTAAGGCCTTTAGAAAGGATAGAGACCATGTCACCGGTTAATACAGTGTTGGTCAAGTTCAGTACAGTTTTGTTTTTACATTTTTGGTTTTCAGTAGGGATTTGTTTATTATGTAGTCTAGAAAATTTATTAAACAAGCTATTCTATGTTTTTATTTTACCACATTAAGCCCACTGAGCTATTTAGCTCCTTTTCAGAAGTGACCTGGCTATCACAAATGATAGCTCATCGAAGTGGCTGATCATGTGGAAATGTATAGTAGCAAATACTAGAAATGCACGTTTCTAAATGTGGAGGTAAACATTGGATGACCTGGAGAAAAACTCCACGCCACCACAGGGAAAGAGAGCATGCAAACTCCAAATATATAGCAGGTGTCAGGGTCGGGATCGAATCCATGACCTCCTCCATACAGGCGAGGGAGATATATCCTAGCCACCGTGGCACCCTAAACAGGAAGGAGGTAGGTTCTGAAAAGAAAGGAGCAGAGTGTGAAGAGAACGCCTGAATAAGCAACCTCCGATTAAAAATAAGCAACCTGCGATTAAAAAAGCAACCTCCAATTAAAAAGAGGAAGCCCAACAAACTGAAAACCGCAGACTCTCAAAAATTGTACAGCGACTTAAAACAAAATAATTTTGCGTATAGAGAAGCCCTTAAACCGTCAACTCTCCTGCCAATTTAAGGAAATTAGACCAAGCCACAGGCCAATTTAGTTTGAATCCAATTCCTGTAATGAGGGGTTGCAGAGTGGAGGCTTAACAGGCACATCATGGGCTGGAGAAGAGATGGTCTGATGTGTGAGTGAGTGAGCGAGCATATGGATGTTTGAGTGAGTGGGCTAGTAGCAGGGGCCAGAGATAAGATGGGCTGATGTACTACAGGAGGACGTGGACCTGAGTGGACTCAGTGATGATTTGTACCAGGGGTGTCAAGATTGACCTCACTACTGGGGGCAGGTTGATATAACATAGCCTTTTTCTTGAATAATGGTCATATATGTATGCATGTATGGTAAAGTCCTTTCAATCATACAGTATGTAGCCAACCGTGCTAATCGGAGGTGCTGGGGAAAGAACAACAAACTAAACAGCAAAAGCAATTTAAAGAAATGGGTTTTCAAACGAGACTTAAAAGTGCAAAGCTCCAGTGACTTCCTAATATCGGAAGGAAGAGTGCTTGTGTGAGAAGTAGCAGATAGGGGTGACGTTGTGGGATCATCCCTCGCTGCCCCGCCCCCTCCTCCCGGTCTTCCCGTGTGTGTTGTGAGCAGAGGTCAAGCTGGCCACAGTCTACTGGAATGCCCAGGAGGGTGACGTGACGCTGAGGGCGGGGGTGCTGGACCGGTCCCAGGGGGATGCGTACGCGCTCTACAACGACACGCTGCCCCAAACAGGCTGGGACGTGCTCGAGGTGCGCGCCGGATACGGACCCCAAAAGAGAGGCGACAGGGAGACCCTCTACATGGCCGGCTTCCTCGAGGGCTACCTCACTGCTAAGTGAGGTCCCACCCTGCCAAATCACACGCAACAATAACTGCCATTAGCCACCAAGTGGCGCTGTGACGTCACTACGGTGCCTGTGTCAGGCTATGTGCACTTTCAGGCCGCGTGAAGTGCCGAACGTCCGCTGGCAGGTCACGGGACAGACACAGCAGGTGCCTTGAGTTGACTGACTGTTCTACCTGCTGTGCCAACTTGCTGTGGTTTAACTGCTCGGCGGTCCGCTTGTTCTTGTGAGCATTGCTCCGTCCTTGACACTGCTGACACCGGTCATTGGCAAGTCCACTCAGCTCCAAGTGTTGTTAGTGAGCACATTTGAAGGCTGATGAGGTGCACAAGATGGTGAGATGTTAACTACCTCGCCTGGTATACAGTAGATCGTGGGTCGATCCTGACCTTGACGCCTGTATATTTGTAATTTGCGTGTCTTTTTCCCTGTAGTCGCGCGGATTTTTTCTCTGGGTGCTACGGTTGTTCCTCCACATTTACAAAGATGTGTTTAGAGTTATTTGGCTGATATAAATTTCCACAAGGATAAGCCACTTTGTTGAGCTAGCATTTGTGGCCAGGTCACTCTGAAAAAGAGCTACATAGCTCAGTGGGCCTTACCTGGTAAAATACAAAAATATATATAAGAGAAAGGACTATGTTGCCCATTTTTATAAAAAGACAATTCACAAGCAAGACAACCGGGGTAACATTTACTCTGCAGCGTGTTACAAGTCTGCAGCTGATACAGGTTAGGACCAAAAATGCAACTATTTCAATCCACTTCCGAATGATTTTGCGAATAGACCACAGTGTACGAAAGTTGTTGTATTTTAATATATTTGAATGAGTTATGTTTTTTATATATATTTACCGATGCGATTCACTTTGCGTTACAGTCGCATATATCCTCATTACCGGAACCTCGCCCCGTTCTTCATCACCGACAACCGTATCGGTCAAGAGCTGAATACATTCTTCAAGTAAGAGGCATTTGAGTGACATTGAACACAGTACCGAGTGAGTTCTGGATATTGAAAAATAATAACATAAATTACAATGAAAAATAAGAATAGGTTTAACCCTTTCTGGCAATAAAACAGGTGTTAAGATGTTCAACCACCAAATAGATACCCTTTGCAAGGAATCAAGTCTGCATTAACCACACGTACTTGCAGTGAACATGTAAACAAAACATGCTCTGATATTATATTCATGGTCTTTGAAACTGATTTATGTTTTACCAGAAAGGATAAAACATATTCTTATTTTTCATACTTTTGTAGTGACTGACTCAGAGACACTAAAAGTACGAGGCATGATGTTTATTAAAACGGCCTTAACAGTTAACACTTGGTAAATACGGTTCCCAGTAAGGGCAGCTGGTAGACTGCTTGACTGGCGACACTGAAATGGTGAAGACAGAGATGACGGTGAAGACTCCAGCAGCACGACGGGATCCCACTTCAAACGACAACCCTGAGTTCCCCTCCCGGGGCCCCTCTTATACTGTCAGCATGGCCTGGCTCCGCGCCGGCCACGCCCCCTTCCCGAACCTGCGAGCGGGTTCCCGATGTGCCCCTTCCTTAACCTTTCCCCTACATCCTGTCTCTGGTCTATCACGTAACTTGCTATCAGTCAGGGCTGCTGTAAGCTGCAGATCCCCTTCCCTGCCAGCAGCCAGCGCTTTTGCTGCAACATGACCAATTCTATGTCACTACACTTTGATACTGGCAAAAAAAGGGTCCCATAATATAAATAACAATGTCTTATTGTTCTCCCTTTGTAAAACACCAGACAATGTTCTACTCCTTCTGAACTTAAAAATAATAATAAAGAGCTGTTGGGCACGGGTCACGGGCTGGTTTAGGTCCAACTTAAGCATGATGGTGGCAAATTCACCTAGGCTGCGCTGTCCACCGAGGAGATGGAGTGATGAAAGCAATTCGCGTGTAGAGCAGGCACTGGGTGGATGATTACGTCGCAGGATCGTAAGAGATGGAAACCTGCTTGGAGAGGCTTTCATCCAGCAGTGGATTGATCATGTATGTACGAACCATTCACAACCAACAGCAGTGACGATTATTTGAAACAGTCTTGGGCGTCCCCCTAAGTCGATTCAGCTTCAAATGAGTACTTGTACCTGGTGTTGTGTTTAAACATCACCAGTGGGAAGACAAAGGCGGCTGGGTGTGGTGCTGATCACCCACCCCGTGTGCCATTCCAACCTTCATAGGTGCCCCTTAACAGAGCAGTCTGTTATGACCATACGGGGATCTTTGTCTTTGTGCAGTGCAATGGGTGAGGAGCGGAGTGCAGCAGGTTATGGTGCTGTGCTACGAACACTGCGACCCGAGATCCATTCACACTTACGGCCCACTCCAGTAACGTTTATCTGAATCGGTCCTGGGCCTCCGCTAGGTCAACTCAGCCTTAAATGGCTACCTGATGCGGTGTGTAAACATCGCCACCGGGGAGGCAGAGGCGGCCGGGCATGGTGTTGCCATCCCACCCCCTCGTATGCCGTGCCGGTCTTCATAGGTGCTTCTCGCTAACAGCACTTGCCCAAACAGTCTGTTAAGGCTATACGGGGGAACTGTGTCACTTGTATATGTGTGTATGTATATATGTCTGTCTAAATCTTCATGCATGTATGTTGAACTTCTTTCGCACCGTACATAGCCAATCGTGCTAATCGGACGTGCGAAATGATGCTGATGGTGGAAAGATGATACTCGAATTGTAAATGTTGTGGGTTTACTCTCCAACACACGGGGTGTGCTGAACTAGTAACTAATTGGCCACGTTGTGGTTTACATAACAAACCTTACTTATCTTCTTTGGTTCTTTCGGTAAAGTCACGTAGAATGAGAATAAAATAATAAATTGATAAAATAAAATAACACAATAAAATTCTCACGACGTTTCGGCCACAACACAAATGGCATTCATCAGGTGAAGGGACGAGACTGTCTGGAGGACAGGGCTGGAGCGAGAGACGTCGTGATAATTTTATTGTGTTATTTTATTTTATCAATTTATTATTTATTCTCATTCTACATGACTTTACCGAAAGAACCAAAGAAGATGAATCCTTGCAGTCACGAAAGCTTTAAATCGAAATTTAAACCTTACTTAATTGACTTTGTCGGGTAGGTGGACGGCTTTCACGACACGTTTATATTTACGCGATCTAACCCAACAAAAAAACAACCCCCTATTATTGATGATGGTGATCATTGTTGTTATTTTGCGTTGGTGGTATTCCCCCCCCGCCTTCCCCCATTGCGTCTGCCTTTGCTCAGCGAGCAGGACGATTGGGTTGTCGGGCAGATAAAAGCGAACCGCGGGGACCCGGTGTGGAGGCACGTGGATGCCCTGCACGGGCAGATGCAGGGACTGCAGAGAGGGGTGCATAAGTGGGCTCTCGAGAACAACGTCAAGGTGGGTTAACGGTGAACTGCTCTCACCCCCCCCCTTCCGAAAATCGCGGATTCTGAGAACAAAAAGAGACAGCTCGTGACGGCCGAGTAGAATCACTCATGCCCGTGGCAATTCGTCATCGCGGCTTGGATCGCGCATGTTCGTGGAGCGCTTCCCCTCTGACCTTGGGTGTGCTGGTCGCCATCTCTGGTCTGCTGTGGTACAGCAGGCATAGCAAGTGGGTTAATTTACACGTGCATAAAAATAAGAATGGGTTTTACGCTTTATGGCAATAAAATAGGTATTAAAATGTTAAAACAACAAACTAGATACCCTTTTGCAATGAAACCCTCAAGACAAACATCAGAGCATGTTTGTTTGCATATCTTGCTACAGTACGTGTGGTTAACTGGTATACAGGAAGTCATGGATTCGATCCCAACCTTGACGCCTCTATATTTGAAGTTTGCATGTCTCTTTCACTCTGTGGTCACGTGCATTTTTCTTCAGGTCCTCCGGTTTTTCCCTCCACATTTAGAATAAACATGGGTTCAAAGTATTTGGCTGCTTTAAAATCGCCACGTGATGAACCACTTCGTTGAGCTATCATCTTTTTGTATTTTTTTGTTGTTGTAACATCCTTCCCCATTCTTACTGGGCATCTGTGAAAATAACTTCATAGCTCATCGGATTCCTCCACTATAAATACAAATTCGGATTCTGATTTGTGATAGTCCGGTCGCTTCTGAAAAAGAGCTAAATAGCTCAATGGGCCTTACATGGTAAAATAAATAGTAATAGTTTGCACGTTTTACCACAAGTACGTGTGGTAAATGCAGAATTTATTCCTTGATTAAGGTATCTATTTGGCGTTTGAACATGTTAAACACCTGTGTTATTGCCAGAAAGGGTAAAACCTCTTATTATCATTATTTTTCCTCATGCTTTGTTACTGATAACAAAAAGGTCTCATATATTTACATATCTAGATTTAATCTGGGTACTCCGGTTCCTGCTCATTCATGGAGTTGGCCAAGCATCCAATTATAGGACCACGGAGCTTGAGCCATTGTTGCCATCGACAATTGGCCGCCTTCCCGCTTGTCTGTGTTTTCCCCCAAGCCTCCGTGCGGAAAACTGTTACAATTGTGCTTGAGCGTCGGGTCCACAATTTTGCGCGAATGACATGACTTAAAAATGCAACATTATTGCTGTTATCACACACACACTTGGTTATTATGACAATGTATAGATATACTAATCAGTGACATATACTCGTAATATCTAGATGTGACTGCTAGATCCGAGCTATAAGTGCCGTGATACTTGGATTGCTTTGTATTGTTCGATTTTTGCCATTCTCTGGTCTAACACTGGTTAGACAAGAGACCTATGTCTGGTGTAGGCCAATCAGTTTCAAAGACAATGCGTACATTATCAGAGCATGTTCATTTGCATGTTTTGCCATAAGTATGTGTGGTTAATGCAGACCTGATAACTTGCAAAAGGTATATATTTGGTGTTTGAACACCTCTTGTTTTATTGGTAGAAAAGGTAAAACATATTCTTATTTTTGATCATATTTTATAATAAATTGTTTTATCTGTCCGGGAGAGCCACACTGAGTCTGTCCTGCATTGGGTATTCATTGTAAGATGTTTCCAGACAATTCATGATGAGTTGTGTTTATTGTACACGTAGGACGAAACCGAGCCACCCTGAGAAAACCCAATCATGTGAGCAGGCAAGGCTCCATCCCCATACAGATGGAGAAAGATGGCGATTAGTCCACTTGCTGTGCAGCCATCTCCTGACATGCCAGGGAATGGCACGTCGATGCCCAAGGAGAGGGCATTTTTACGCAGCGCTTGTGCACTGATCCACCAACCCCTGGCTACCTTCAGGAAGCGCCGGGCTAGAGATAGCCACCGTGCGTAGCCGCCACTGCTTGCCATGTTCGTCGCTTTCTCGCCGGCACAACGGCTCGCGTTACGCTGCACAGATTATGGTCGTCAGTTTAGCACAAGGGGGAGTGGTTGAGCAGTTCAGTGCTGGCTCTTGTGCCACCGAGAGCGATATGAAACCTGATGAAAAAATAAGGATAGGTTTTCACCCTTTCTGGCAATGAAACAGGTGTTAAGATGGTTAAAACTCCAAATCGATACCTTTTTTAAGTCTTAATTAACATCCCATACTTGTGGCAAAACATGCAAATGAACATGATCTGATAATACATGCATTGACTTTAAAACGCCAAAAGCTGAACGGCACAAAGATAATTCAAGTATCTGAACACTTATAGCTCGGGTCCGAGCAAAGTTATATCGAGAAATGTGAAACCTGTAGCCTGTCACCGCTCTGATTGTCCGCAGCCTCTGCCCAAATTCGCTTTCCACTACCTGAACGGCATTGGTGACATCATCGATCTCGTCAACAAGCTGTCACCTCAGCAGGCGCGAGGGTTTGGCGCCATGACGTCCGGCGACATCCGGAGGTACACGCTCAGGAACGGCCACTGCTCCGCTATCATCAAGGTAACAACAGTCCTTGGTCCACGTCCCCGTGTGGTGAGGTATGCTGCCTTCCTGTTTGTTTCTCTCTGCTCTCATCTCTCTCTCCTTGCTCTCATCTCCACGTCCACCCCACAGCCCTTCATATCCTGTTGCACCACATTGAGTAATATGTAGTCATTCAATTAATCTGCTGATGATGATTCTGCTTAAGAAGACTGGTGTAGGCCAATCAGTTTGACTCGAGCTATAAGTATTCTGATACTTGCATTGTCTTCGTACTGTTTACCTCTTGGCGTTTTTCTCTGGTCTAACTCTGGTGAGATTAGGCCATTAATAAAGCTGTCTCTGGTGTAGGCCAATCATTTTCAAAGACAATGCGTATGTTATCAGAGCATTTTTTTTCGCACGTTTTGCCACAAGTTTGTGGCTAATGCAGACTTCTTGTCACGTGAAAAGGTATCTATTTGGTATTTGAACATCTTAATACCTCCTCTTTTATTGCCAGAAAGGGTAAAAACAATTTTTTTAATCATTTTTGATACTGGTAAAAAAGGTCCTGTAGATATGATTCTGCTCATTTGCCTAATAACACTTTAAGACTATTTGCGCAGTCGAGGGTGATGTTACTGCTGCTGCTGTGTGTGATCCTGATTACGTGATTTGCATGTGATTTTTCAGCAGTGGGAGGTTTTGGGACGATGCTAGTTACAGTTTACGTTTGTATTTAGCCGTGACAGGACACTGAAGAACCCAGAGAGAACCCGTGCAGGAGAAGGGGGAGAACATTCAATGCGCACGGTTGGCTATCGGTTGGCTATGTATGGTGCTTAAGAAGTTCAACATACATCCATTAGCATGGTTGGCTATGTAATGTGTGAAAGAAGTCCAACATACATATGTAATGGGTTCAACTGAGTTGCAGACTTAAACTTGGAGGCAACAGATTTATTTCGTTCCAACACATGGGGTAACTTCCCCTTAAGAGAATAACAACCTATGGTTGGTAACCACCAGGCTAACTACACTAGTTACAACGTAACTGTTACTATGGACCGGGACCAACGACTTCGGCCTGGGTCCACGTGTTGAAGGCTCGTTGAATGGAGAACGTAGACAAAGGGTTTCTTCCATGATGTACAAAAACCCTGGTCCCTCACGGGACACAGCTTATATTCTCTGTGGCATGGCCGGCTCCGCCCTTAGCCACGTCCACCTTCTAGAATCCTCGAGAAGGATCTGGGTCCTAATCACATGACACCCCCTAGCCCCCTCTTGGGGCCCCTTTGTCAACTTAACCGGTCACATGTCCTCCCGAGTCAACCAGAGTGCCATGCTCTTTGGTTCTTTCGGTAAAGTCACGTAGGTGGCGTCCGTCATTCCACCTGATGACGGACACTTGTGTTGCGCCCGAAACATCTTGATTTATTTTATTTTATACCTACGTGACTTTACCGAAAGAACCAAAGAGTATGGATTCCTGCAGTCACGAAAGCTTCAAATAAAGACAGAGTGCCTAGGCCTCACATAACCTCATCCTTCGGCCGGCACTCGCATATCCTGTCCTGTAGGGTTGGCACTGCACTTTTAGTGTGGTGCCATCTAGCGCTATTATTCAGCGCACACTGGGCCCCTCTAGGGCTGGTATTACACCCACATCATTGTGGTATCCGGCGATGTAGCTACACCGCACGCCATGCCCCTTTAGAGCCGGTACTGCACCCACAACCTGTTGACATCCAGCAATGTCACAATACATATGTAGTGAGTTCAACTGAGTCGCATACGTACTCTTTGGAGGAAACACATTTATTATCACCAACACACGGGGTAACTACCCCTTAACAGAATAACAACCTATGGTGGTAACCACCAGGCTAACTACACTAATTACACCGTAACTAGCTACAACGAACCGGACCACAGCTTAGGTCCCAGTCCACATGTTGAAGACTGGGAATTTACCCTGGAAGCCTCACGCGCTTTTGAAAGCCTCTGAAGGGTAAAGCGCATTGAGTCCGAAATTTTAGATTTAGGCTTATTTGGCATGGCTCGAAATGGGATATCAATCAGGGGGTCGTGTTCTCTTCCGTTCATTAAAACAAATGTTGAGTAGCCGGTGGATGCATGAGGGGCCATACTATAGGCAGCCAGGACTCCAGGAACGTGCAAGTCCCAGTCAAGTTGGGACTCGCTGACCTGATGGATCAATATGGAGGTCAGAGTCCTGTGCAGCCGCTCTACAATTCTATCCGTCTGTGGGTGGTATGGTCACATAATACTTTCTTTTGTACCCAACAAGTCACACACCTCCCACAATAATTTAGAAAAAAATTTTTCGTCCTGATCGGTCAGCAAACGCTCAGGGACACCCTTGTCCATAACATAGCCATCAAGGAATGCGTCGGTGATGGCCACCGCCGACTGGTTGGGGAGCGGCCAGGCCATCGGCCAGTATGAGAAATACTCGACGCCCACTGGCAAATACTTATTCTCATGAGGGGTGTTGGAAAATAGACCAAGGATGTCAAGAGCAATGAGCTCATTTATGCGGGAGACCTGGATGGATTGCAAAGGTACCAAAACAGGGTTTGGATGGGGGTGTCCGCCGCGCGCACTGCACACACCCTTTCAACAAATTAACGACATCTTCTGCCATGCCCGGCCAGAAGAAGTCGAGCTTAAGTGTGGCTCACGTTTTGTGCACACCCAGGTGCAACAGTTGCTCGTGCACCGCCCAGATGACTTTACCCCAGAGGGCAGTGGACACGACAATGTTGTAACGGCGCAAACCTCCGTCCCAATGCATGAGCAATCTGCCTCTGAGGATGACAGAGGCTACACCCCGTCGATCCCCACCCCCATCCACCTCCTTGAGATGGCGTCGCAACTTAAACAGGGAAGCGTCCTTAGCCTTGAAGGCCCCCACTCCACATTATCCAAGCCAATAACAGCGTCACGCGCCACGAGACCCTCGGCCCTCTCCGAGGTGTCAACCTCGGCCGACGCCGCAAGGGGAGGGGGCGAGTCCTCGGCACACACCTCACAACGCACCGAGCCTGAAAAACATGTGCACCCATCGCTCAGTGGCAATCGCAACAGGGTATCCGAGTTCGTGTGTCGGGTACCTTTGCGATAGCAAACATGAAAGGAATAGTCCTGGAGGACTTTCAATCAACGTGAAAGCGCTTATTGCATAAATAAAACAATAGCCAAGAGTTCCCGACTTGTGACACAGTACCTTTGTTCAGCCGGAGACAGCACTCTGCTGCCATACGCAACAACGCTTTCAATGCCATTGACAACTTGAGACAGAACAGCGCCATTTTTGGTGTTACTAGCATCTGCATCAAGGACGAATGACAAGGAAAAGTCGGGGTAGCGAAGGGGTTGGGTGTTCACTAAGCCATCCCGGAGCGGAACAAATGCGGCCTCATCCTCCTCCCCCCAATGGAACATCTGACCTTTAACCATCAAGGCATGGAGTGGTTTAGTGATAGTGGTGAACCCCGCGACAAAACGGCGGTAATAGGATGCAAATCCAATGAAACTCCACACCTCCCTCACCGACGTGGGGGTCGGCCAAGTACGAATTTTAAGAAAGACAGCACGCAGTCATTCCAGATCCTCTTTGAACGTATGGCTTAAACAATACTATTATCAAGATATATCAGGTACGAGTCCCACTGGAGACCAGCATAAACCAGTTCCATTAATTGTTGGAATGTAGCCGGCATGGAATGAAGACCCATAGGAAGCCAAATAATCCCTGCGGTGTACGAAAAAGCTGTTTTGGGTTTAAAAACATCATCTAGAGGCAGCTGCCAAAATCCAGATAAGAGGTCAAGAGTCAAAAAATAATGTGCTCCCACTAGAGCATCAAGGAAATCGTCCATCCGAGGAAAAGGACACACGTCAGCCATGGAGATCTTATTAAGCTTATGGAAGTCAACACAGAAGCGCAAACTATCATCCTGCTTCTTAACAAGAACAATCGGGGCTCACCACAGGCTAGTGGATGGCAAAATAATATCAGTGGCTAACATTTCATTAATAGTCAGCCATAGTGTTCTTTTTCCATAGTACTCAGCCAGGAGGGGTTCTGCCGGATGGGAATGGCATCTCCTGTATCGATGTGGTGACTCAAAAGCGAAGTGCAGCCGATGTCAAATTTACCCTTGCTGAAGACATTTGAGAATTCACGCAAGAGTGCCCTCAACTCACCCCTCTGGGACTCTGACAATTCCGCATTTTCCGAACAAAGTGTTTCCAATAATTTCTCATCAGAATCCTGTTTCGGCCTCATATCCGACACGACCCCCACACTTCCAACCATGCTATCTTCGTGAAGTGTGGGCGACGCATGAGCTAGCACGGTGCCCTCCTAAATGACCGACGTTTCTAACCCTGCATTAAGGAATGAAGGGTTCCTGATCGTTGGATACCAGAGTCTGGGCCCCTACTAACGTAAACCCACGAATGGCCTTATTTGAAGAACCCAAGAGGATTCCTCCTGCAGTCGCCGCCTGGTCTAGCGGCTTGCGCAACCGGAAACGGACCAACATTTGCACGCCTGGGGGAATCTTTACGGTCTTAGTTGCAAGTGCTTGTGCGGTAGCATTGGCTGTGCATAATCGAGTGGGAGAAGGCAAAAAGGTGGTTTGGCAACCCGATGGTAACTAAAGGCACCCTTGATCAATCCGAATTTTAAGGGGCATCTTCCCTAAAAAGTCAGTCCCGAGCAAGCAAGGGGCATTGATACAAGAACTGGTCCCGTCAATTTTATATTTCCAATGCACACTTCTGCTGTTATTTTCCCAATGATGTTCAATGAGCCGCCATTTGCGGTAAAGCACAAGGCCTCGATGTGACATAGGGTACGACATTTAGAGGGCGAAATGTAAAGAATCTACTTGGAAATGATAGACGCTGATGTGCCAGTATCGACGAGCATTTTGATTTCAACCCCCTCTACCAATCCAATAACAGCAGATGAACCTGCGGTCGCAGAAACCACCCTATGTACCAACTCCGACCACTGACCCGGTCGGAGCGGCCAGTCATCCCGAGCAATTTTCGAACCCTCACGCACCGACGCATGATGGGAATGAAAACCGACCGAATGCGATGAGTGAGATGGATTCAGGGGCCGAGTGTGTGATGTGTCGTGACTCGCATTCGGGTGTAATGGAGTAGAGGACGGCCGGTCGGGCAACGGCGGTGGTCTGGGGAGGCGTCGTCGTGGCATGCAGCAGCCCGATGAGACGTGTCTGGGTAGGCCGCAGTTATAACAGACGAGTCCACTCCCGGGATGAGTAGAGGTCTTCTGCTATTGTTGTTGTTCATCTCGTCGCGCCATGCTGTTCCCTCGCCAGCCTCCGCCTTGGGTCGATGGGCAGGCTTGGATGGGCTCCACGTCTTTGGGTGTATCACGTGCCTCACGAGGCACGGGACATGCCGCCAACCCCTTATGTCATTGCAAGAGCAGGTGCGCCTGGATGCATCTTGCAACCTTGAGTGAAGACAAGTCATCGTCGGCAATCGCTGGCAGGACGATGTGGAGGTCTTTTGCCAACGCCAACAATTTCTCGAGGACCAGCGAGTTGATTCCATCGTGGTCCATCTTGAAAGGCAGCCTTTGCTCGTGCAAATAGTGTGCTATGAAAGGTGAGGGGCATCTTGGCCTCCCCCCTCCTCCGTGCAGCAAACTTATGGCGCACATTTGATGGTGGTTCGTAAATGGCCGCCATTTGAGCAAATGCTTGATGCAGCGTGGCCCTCTCCAATGGCAGAATGGTGAGAAACGCTGCCAAGGCATCATCTAGCACGGCAGGCAGCGCTCTCAGGGCCTCTGCCTCCGTCCACCCCGCCAAGTCCTAGTTCGTCAAAAATCTGTGCTTGAAGCCACCCAGTCGCCTCCGATGGCAGTAAATTCTTTAACAAATGGCAGTCGTCGCTGAAGAGATGGAAAGTCAACGGGTGAACTTGATGCAGTCTCAGAATTGGCGGGCTCCTTGCTCCGCTCCTCAAGCAAAATGGCGGCCGCATGCGCAGGCTGCAACACAGAGGTTCCCTGATGGCGGGAAATGGCGGCGGGATTTTCCGCCCCGCGAGGCTCCATTGCTCTCTCCTCCCCCACTGGCTCCTCACATTGGAGCTCTGCAATGATGGACGCCGCGGCTTGGAGGAGTTCAGTGAGGCGGGAGTGTGCTGTGCGGCGCTCCCTCCCCGATGGAGGTGAGCCGTCGCATGTACGGTCGATGCGCTGCTCCGCTGACGGCACCTCACTTCCCTTCTCTGGGGTCGCCATCCCGAGGGCTGTTTAAGAGACGAGGTCGTCGTCCTCGTCGTCTGACGTGGTCTGCTTCATGTAAACATAACCTAAGTCGGCTAGCCTACTTAAAGAACGTTTGGCCACTTCCGACACTAGTTGTAGTGAGTTCAACTGAGTTGCAGACGTACGCTTTGGAAGCAACACATTTATTAACACCAACACACGGGGTAACTACCCATTAACAGAATAAGAACCTATGGTGGTGACCACCAGGGTAACTACACTAATTACACCGTAACTAGCTACAAGGGTCCATGTGTTGGAGACTGTAGGACGTAGAACGTAGACGAAAGTTTCTTCAGGATGAACAACAGCGCCGGTCCTTCTGGGGGACCCGGCTTATATCTTCTGTGGCGTGGCCGGCTCTGCCCTTGGCCACGACCACCTTCTAGAATCCTCGACCAGGATCTCGACCCTGACATGTGACCACCCCTAACCCCCACTTGGGGCCTTTGTGTAGACTTAACCGGTGACGTGTCCTCTGGGGTCAACCAGAGTGCCACGGCCCTTAGTGACCCTATTCCCATGGCCAGCACTCCCACACCCTAACCTGTACGGGCCAGCACTGCATGCTAAGCGTGGTGCCATCCAGCGCTATCGACCAGCGCTCACTGAGTGCCTCTAGGGCCGGTGATGCACCCACATCCAAGTGGTCCGTGATGTCAATACATCGCATGTCGTGCCTCTCTAGGGCCGGCACCACACAGTGACATCCCGCGATGTCACTACACATATATTAGCATGGTTGGCTATGTACGATGCAAAAGGAGTTCAACATATATACATTAGCACGGTTGGATACGTACAGTGCGAAAGAAGTTGAACATACATACATTAGCATGGTTGGCTATGTATGGTGCAAAAGAAGTTCAACATACATATGTAGTGTCAACGATTCAGAGACAGAGTTTCTAGGAGGCGCTTTCTTTATTAACAACTTTCACGGTCTCGTCCGCACACTCTCCACAGTAGCTCTGCCTAGCCTGTACATTACACTAACCGTCTAATACTGACTGAGATAGCCAAGTACTATCCTTCGTAGCACAATATCTAGTGGAGACATTTAGCGACGACAGAGATGAGACGACAGCAACGACGAGATGAGTCCATTCCCAGAACCGGCAACTGCGAGCCCCCCCCCCCCCCCGCTCTTGGCTCTTTTTATGCTACTAGCGCAGCATGGCTCTACGCTGACCACGCCTCCCTTCTCGAACCCGGTAGCAGGTTCCAGGGGCCTCTAGACAGGGTCCTCAGTGACCCTTATCCTAGTTCCTCCCTCTGCCTACACCCCGTGCACGCCCTTACCGGCGCGTGTACTATCTGTCCACCACAGTTGCTGCTGCTGTCCACCAGCCAGCACTATTACACTACACATACATTAGTACGGTTGGCTACGTATTGTGCGAAATAAGTTCTACATACATTCAAACTCCACGCACCAACGGCACCCGAGTGTGGGAATCAAACCCAGGCGCTTCTCGCTGTTAGACGCGAATGTGAACACCGCACCACCAAAATAGACAAGCGTCTGTTTTATTAAAATATAATAATAAAACGTTGAGATCTGTCAAATAAATTGTTTAAGCAGACATATTCTGGGGGACAGTTTCAGCTCAGTGTCTCGTTAAATCAGTGCACTGCAACGCATGCTCATCACGCTGGTTATGTAACGCAACATTACACACGTTTTAAGTTTCAACACAAATATTCAGTTGCTAATTTTGTTGTAAATTATAGAAATCTGGACCGTGGCATCGGCAACTATGTGCTACATTACACAGCGTTGGGTTTATGAACAATAGATGTAAATGTGCCTCGGCATAGGACAAATTGGCTTTTCAATTACACTTACAATGTAGTCCCTTGGTTAAAAATTAATCCGTTGCACAAAAACTACTGTAAACCGAAATAACTGTTCAACGAATGCACTTATAAGGTAAACAAAGGTAAACATCACTGTGTCTGCAAGAGGGATATTTTCCACTGCCAAAACAGAAAAGTATAATGTTAAACAAAGACAGTCGAGGTCTAAACGGTTCAAATGGGCGTCGCTGATTGGCTGAGGGCGTGGCTCAGCCCCACTTATGAGCACTAGAATTGGCCTAAATTGCCGCCCGCGTGCACAATGTAAACACCTGACCGTTAGTCAACATTTTAACGTTAGTGGAAACCATGGGGTTCCATTGGGAGGCGACACGTTAACCTAAACACCGTTAACTGGTGTCACTTAACCGAGGTACTGCTGTATTGCCAGACTCGAGGTAGCCATTCGTTTAGAGTATTTGGCTGCAATACATTTCCGCGTGATAATTAACTTCGTTGACCTATCATTTGTGAAAGCCAGGTCGCTTCTGAAAAAGAGCTAATAGCTCAGTTGGGCCTTACCTGGTAAAATAAATAAAATAAACAAATAAAGGCGACCGCTCTGAGGTGGCACCACTGAGATCCTGTCTCCCGATTGACGTCATTCAACCGACGTTGAACCGGGTTTCTCAAGCGGAGTGAGTTGATGGCCATCAACCCCAGCGCACACATGCACGCGTTACGTTTTCATGCGTATTAACACCGAATTCCAACTCTTCGACTCAAATAAATGTCGGTTTGAATGTCCTGAAACAATATGGTCAGCGAATTGTGTGGGAAAGTGTGTTAATGACAAACGGGTCACTTGAAGGTTTGTTCAGAAGTTGTGTTCAAAATTATTAGCGTAGTCATTCTTTGACATGGGAGGCGGGGGGGAGAGGCGTTCTGCCCTGTGGGATTTCCATTAGACGCGGATTCCTTTATCGCGTTGTCTTTGTGCTTTACAGCACTATTTGCAATCAGGGATAAGCCCATTTGGTATTGGACTAGCACAATTTGACTGTGTTAAAAACAATACCTTTTTAACTACACACAACCGCATTAATGAGGTGCAGTTTTATGGGCAGCAGCCTGCACCACGCCCGTGTCCGTGCCGGTGCTCCGTGTCCATGCGGTGTGACAGCCTTAGGGAGGTCGGCTCGGTGAGCTGACTTTCAAGCCCATGGTGGCTCAAAACTGAACAGTGATTAGGTAGGGGTCTCAGATAGGGTTTGATCCCACTACCTTTTCTCACACGCGGACCCTAACTCATTTCTTAGTCAATCCGAGGTCTGGTTAAATAAAAAGAACAGTTTGTAACTATCAACCGCGTCAGAACATTATCAGGTCCGATGAGTGCATGTTCTCTACGAATGAAAAAAAATGAAGACAATCCACAGTAGTGCGATCGTGGCCATGCAACCCAAACTATGGAATGTATAGTAAAGCCATAGACATCAGAGACTCCTAGACATAGGGATACATAAAGTGCTGTTAGCGAGTAGCACCTATGAAGGCCGGCACGGCACACGAGGGGGTGGGTGGCCAGCACCACACTCGAACGCCTTTGTCTCCCATGTGCCGATGTTTACACACCACACCAGGTACTCATGTGAGGCTGAGTCGACCTACGGGAGGCCCAGAACCCAATTCAGATAATCGTCACTGGTGTTGGCCGTGAGCGGAAATCCAACCCGGGTGGCCGAGTTCATAGCGCAGCGCGCTCTCCGCGACACTAACCGCTGCCTATATGAGCGCTGATCACACCCACACTCACACACTCAGACACGCGTGCTCCTTGGGGGCTTGTGTTGTGGCAGGTGACGCCGGGTTTTGAGAACGTCCTCTTCGGGCACTCGAGCTGGTTCACGTACTCAGCCACGTCGCGGATATTCAAGCACTGGGACTTCAACCTGCGAGAAGTCGCTGCGGCCGCGCCCAAATCATCGTTCAGCAGCTACCCCGGTGAGGAGAACCCCCCCCCCCCCCGACTGATGCGTCGTGACGCTCACGGCGTAGCAACAACCGCGGGGGGGGCAGCGTGCACTCGGCTGCCATTGGCACACCAAAATCATTGCACCTTAATAGACTGCTGGGGCAAGTTCTGTTAGGAAACACCTATGAAGGCCGGCACGGCGCACGAGGGGGTGGGTGGCCAGCACCACGCCCGACCACATTTGTCTCCCCAGTGGCGATGTTTACACAGCTCACCAGGTACTCATTTGAGGCTGAGTCGACCTAGTGGAGGCCCAGGACAGGTTCGGATAAACGTCACTGGAGTTGGCAACGGGTGTGAATCGAACTCGTGTGGCAGGGTTCGTAGTGCAGCACGCTCAATGCTACGCCACCGCTCGCTACTGCACACACACACGCGCATGTGCATGCATTCTTGCGTCCAATAAAGACTGGTGCTAATCTTTTCCACTTAGTATTTTAAAAAGGATTCGGGAAAAAAACAGAACTGTTGTGCTGGTTAAGTGACGTATGCGGGATGGTTGAGGGTCTGTTACCGGGCAGATATTGGAGTGGCCTCCCCGCGATCATAGTTTGTAAATGTTGTGGCTTGGCTCTCCAACACACCGGTGTGCTGTACTAGTGACGAATTGGCATGTTCTGTTTACGTGACAACCCTTACTAGTTGGCTGTGTCGGGTGGTGGTGGGTTTTAATGACACATTTATATATTTACGCGATCTCACCCAAAAACCTCTATTATGGATGATGTTGGTTGCAACAGCCTACATGTTAAATTGTTACTTAATTACAATAAACTATTTTTTTCGATATTCTATTGATTTAATCGATTAACTGTAGTGCTACATTTATTACAACGTAATATCGTCTACCTTGTTGTTGTAGTAGTGGCATCATTTACGTGAGCAGGAGGTGAAATGCTCCAATGGAGACAACATGAAGCAACGTTGCCTAGGCCACCCTGGCTGTGTCCCTGATTATATTTATCAGACGCGATGGCAGGGCGCTTCTTTTAGCACCTGGCATTCTGTCCCTTGTAAACCCGAACCCCCCCTCCCCCCCCACCGGGTATTGCGTCCGCTGGTGCCCTTTCCCCGCAGGCTTCCTGTCATCGCTCGACGACTATTACCTGCTGAGCAGCGGCTTGGTGATGCTCCAGACAACGATCGTCAACTACAACCAAAACCTCTTCAATGACATCACGCCCCAGGCCCTGCTGTCGTGGCAGAGAGTGCGCACGGCCAACGTGCTTGCTCGCGACGGCAAACAGTGGGGCGAAATCTTAGCCAAGCACAACTCGGGTAATGCGTTTTACACGTGACTGTCATACAGTTAGAGCAGGGGTCGGGAACCTATGGCTCGCGAGCCAGATGTGGCTCTTTTGATGATTGCATATGGCTCGCAGATAAAACAAAATATTCTCACTTGTTTTAATCCATCCATCGATTTTTCACTGCGCATGTCCTGTTCAGGGCTGCAGGAGCAATTGTCCATTATTTTAATTGGATGATACTGGCCTACGTTTGCCGTTGCTGGGTAAAACAGGTAAACACCCCCTTTTGAATCAGTCTGAGACTGCGTCTGCTCGGTCATTAGCTCAAAGCTAACCCTTCGACGAAGAAGATGGCGAAAAGAAAAAAAGACGACGAGTATCGTACATTTCAGGACGAATGGACCGAAGAATTCGCCTTTGTGGAGAGAGCGGGTTCTGCGGTGTGTCTAATTTGCAATGACAAAATTACATCGTTGAAACGGTCGAATGTAAAGCGGCACTTCGACACGCGCCACGCTACCTTTGCATCAAAATACCCTGCGGGAGACAGCAGAAAGAAAGCGTGCCAAGAGCTTCTGAGCAGGGTGCAAGCTAGCCAGCAGCAACTCCGCGTATGGACCCGGCAAGGTGACTAGAATTCGGCTAGCTTTGCTGGTTCTTTAGCAATAGTGAGGAACGGAAAACCATTCACAGATGGCGAGTATGCTAAAACGTTCATGCTGGATGTAGCCAATGAACTTTTTGATGATCTTCCGAACAAAGACAAGATAATCAAACGGATACAAGACATGCCTCTGTCGGCAAGAACTGTTCATGATCGTACCATCGTGATGGCAAACAAAGTGGAGGAAACGCAAGTGAAGGACATAAATGCAGCGCCGTTCTTTTCTCTGGCTTTGGATGAGTCAACAGACGTGAGCCATTTGTCGCAGTTCAGCGTGATTGCAAGATATGCTGTTGGTGACACACTGCGCGAAGAAAGTCTTGCTGTTCTGCCATTAAAAGGGTCCACAAGAGGTGAGGATTTATTCAAGTCTTTCATGGAGTTTGCTCAAGAAAAAAGTCTACCTATGGATAAACTTCTCTCAGTGTGTACTGATGGTGCTCCGTGTATGGTGGGGAAAAACAAAGGATTTGTGGCGCTTCTCCGTGAACATGAAAATAGACCCATCCTAAGTTTCCATTGCATTATACACCAGGAGGCACTTTGTGCTCAGATGTGTGACAGGCAGTTTGGCGAAGTGATGTCGCTGGTCATTCGTGTGATCAACTTTATTGTTGCCCGAGCCTTAAATGATCGCCAGTTTAAAATACTGCTGGATGAAGTTGTAAATAACTATCCTGGTCTGCTTTTGCACAGCAATGTGCGTTGGTTGTCAAGAGGGAAGGTGCTTAGCCGTTTTGCGGCTTGCCTGAACGAAATCCGGACTTTCCTTGAAATGAAAGGCGTCGGGCATCCTGAGCTAGCCGACACCGAGTGGCTCCTCAAGTTTTACTATCTCGTAGATCTGACTGAACATCTGAACCAGCTCAACGTGAAAATGCAAGGCATTGGAAATACAGTGTTATCCCTTCAACAAGCTGTATTTGCTTTTGAAAACAAGCTGGAGCTTTTCATCACGGATCTTGAAACAGGTCGTTTACAACATTTTGAAAAACTGAGCCAATTTAAAGATGCATGCACAGCAAGTGAGCCCATTCAAAACCTTGATCTCCACCAGCTAGCTGGCTGCACATCCAGTCTCCTACAGTCCTTCAAAGCACGCTTTGGAGAATTTTGTGAGCACACTCGTCTTTTTAAGTTCATCACCCATCCAAACGAGTGTTCACTGAACACAGCCGACCTGAATTACATCCCTGGTGTCTCCGTCAGAGATTTTGAAGCAGAAGTGGCTGACCTGAAGGCCTCAGACATGTGGGTGAATAAGTTCAAGTCACTGAATGAAGATTTGGAAAGAATCACACGACAGAAAGCGGAGTTGGCGAGCAAGCACATGTGGACAGAAATGAAAAAACTCCAACCCGAAGACCAGCTGATTCTCAAAACTTGGAACGCGCTTCCTGTCACATACCACACACTGCAGCGTGTGAGTATTGCTGTATTGACCATGTTTGGATCTACGTATGCATGTGAGCAGTCATTCTCACATCTTAAAAACATCAAGTCCAACCTACGATCACGTTTAACGGATGAAAGCCTCAACGCTTGCATGAAGCTTAACCTCACCAAGTACCAACCCGACTACAAAGACATCAGCAAATCCATGCAGCACCAGAAGTCGCATTAATGGTGAGTGTTATAACAACATTATTTAAAAGAATAAATTCAGAGGCTTATTATACTGACATTTAGTTGAATTCACTTTTAAAATATATTATATGGCTCTCACTGAAATAAATTTCCAAATTTTTTGCTTTCATGGCTCTCTTGGTCAAAAAGGTTCCCGACCCCTGAGTTAGAGCGTCATATATGCAAAAAAACAGTATGCTTGTCAATGTTATAAATGTTGTGAGCGGATGTCAGCCCCACGTAGCCACAGAGCCATGTGAAAGCCAGCTCCTCCTTCAGCACGTGCAGCGCAACACCAACCAGTCCTCCCGGCACGCACTGACGGACTTAACAGCTGGAGTAGATGGTGCGCCATGGTCTCCTGGCTCTCCACATTCACACAGCGGGCTGCCATGTCGTAGTACGCCCCATCAATGGTTCAGAAGCGGCGTACACCACCCCTTGGTAACGCCAGATGCGGTTCAACTGACCCACTGGGGCCTTTGGAGGTCGAAGCCAGGCACCTGTACAGATGGATCACTGATGAGGTCCGTGTTAGGCACATCCACAAATCTCCATTCTTCACCTCAGCAGTGTATCCTGCATACTCGTACCGAGTCTCAAAACTCTTTTGTCAGGGGGGTCATGCCAAGTTCTCCAAGTAGGGTGGTAATATCTATGGGTATCCTAAACTGCACAACCTGAGCTATTTTGATCTCTTTTATGTATGCGTTGATTTTGTGCTGTTCACATTTGTTGGCGTTCTCTAGGTTCAACACCTGTGGTGAGACAAGGCCAAATATAAAGGAGGCTGTCTCTGGTGTCGGCCAATCGGTTTCAAGAACATTGTATTATTGAAGCATGTTTGTTTGCACGCATGTTGTACCACAAGCATATGTGCTGCTTGAATCAGAATCAGACGTTTATTATCCGACTTGGCCAGCAGACAGACATGGCAGCAAGATTTAATAAAGAAGAAATAAAATATCAAAAAATGTCTCAAGTAAATAAAACGAAATGATCTTGCGTACATTCGCATTTGTATTGTGTCGACCTCAATAATATATGTTGAAGAGAATACAGTGATGACAGAGTGGTAATCCCCAGAAAAGACATAAACCAGTTGGTTCCAAAACTTCAGAGCAGGTACATGAAACGCTTTGAACCAAGTTCTGTACGAAATCTAGGAATCGTGAACAAACAAGCGGACGCGTCGCTGATTTTTATTTTTTTATTGTTTTATTTTGTAACTGCACTAATACATATGTTCAACAGATCGCAGATCTTTGGATAATTGCCTTATAAATGAATGTTGCCCAATGGGAATGTCTTCATGCTTCCAGGGACATCTTGACACCTACATTGTGGCCAAATAAGGGTAACGCCTTTTCTTTTTTCATCAGGGTAGCAATAGCAACTACGGGTACAGCCAATTCGAGTAATTTGCAAAGTGATTGTTCAGCATTGGGATATGCTTGCCAATACCAGTTACATCGTGAGTATATTTTATTTTTCTTTGTTATGACAGAAAACCAGAGAACCTGGAGGGAACCCATGCAGAATAGGTGGAAAAAATACAAATTCGATGCAGAAAGGCGTCCGGATCGATTGAGTCATTGCTCTGGAGACCAGGAGATCGTTGGTTGATGTTCAATTGCCGGGTTGATGGTGGCCTGGGCCCGATAAAAAAACATTATTTTGTAGCATTACTAGTAACTGAATGAATAAAAAATGTGCTGTTATAGGACAGGGTTTTGCTGGATGTCATCTAGCTGGACTGTGGTGGCAATCCATGTGGCCTGCCATCCAGCACTTGTGTAGGCAGCGAAGATTGAGTGGATCAGACAAATGTTGCGAAACTCCCTTGCATTTCCAGGAGAAGGCACATACAGTAAAGGGCATACTAATCTTATCTACTCCCTGCTGAAGCATCTCGGTTCGATTCCCAGATCGGACACCTTGCCGTACAGGGTTTGTGTGCTTTCCCCCTGTTGTTCATGGATTTCCTCTCAGTTCTCTGGTTTCCCTCTCATAGCTAAAGCACACACTCGGGCGCCCCGGTGGTGAGATGCAAACTACCTCGCCTGGTATACAGGAGGTCGTGGGTTCGATCCCGACTGTGATGCCTGTATATTTGGAGTTGGCATGATCTCACTGTGGTCACGTGGATTTTTCTACTAGTCCTCCGGTTTTTCCGTCCACATTTAGAATCAACATGCTTTTAAAGTATTTGGCTGCTATAAATTTCCACGTGATAAACCACTTCGTTGAGCTAACGTTTGTGGCCAAGTTGCTTTTGTAGAAAAGCTTTATAGCTCAATGGGCCTTACCTGGTGAAATAAAATTAGTTTATAGTTTAGTTTTACACACTATCTAACTGGCATTGGCCAAACATCCCAAATGTAAAAAAAAAATTGCACTGCAAATTACTGGGGTGTGATTACACACACACGGCAACATCTCTCTCTCTCTCTTGTGAAAACTTGGTGGGACCCTTCGTGAGAAAGAGCCTTGCGATTCGGTGCGGTATTTATGGCTGACCAATACGTAGATGACTGCAGAGCTGAGTAATTTTGTTGACGGCGCTAGCTTGCTGCCTTCCAGCTTGCCTGTCCGTGCTTGCTCAGAGACCATAATTCACACTTTGACTACTGACGCTTGCAAAATATTCCCTTCTGTTGTGTATCCTCAGGAACCTACAACAACCAGTACATGATATTGAATCTGAACAAAATTGAGCTGGGCGTAGGCATTCATGATGGTGCCCTGTACGTGGTGGAGCAGATGCCGACGCTGGTTCACTCCGCTGACCAAACCGACATCCTGCGGAACGGTACCCACTCTCGTTAGTGCTGTGCGTGTCTGTTAACGATGTACAAGCATTCCTCGAACTTACGGACATAATTCTTTCCTGAGGCCTGCTCGTAAGTCAGACGGTTCGTAAGTCGGAACACAATGTACTGTATTTAAATGTCCACACACACACAAACACTCTCTCCCAGTACGAGGCTGACTCATTACATCTTGCGGAGGGTCGCTCGTCTGAAAAAAATAGTTCCACCACCGATATTAGCCATGGGCAAGAATCAAACTCGTGTGAATGGGACTCATAGCGCAGTGCACATGCCACTGCCACCCCCCCCCCTTTATACAGTCACACCTGGCTTTGACATTCTCTCCTTGAAAACTAAAATATAAACGGTGAAAGTATATCGCTCTTTTTCAGAAGCGACCTGGCTATCACAAATGTTAGCTCCACGAAGTGGCTTATCACGTGGAAATTTATAACAGCCAAATACTCTAATCGCATGTTTCTAAATGTGGAGGGAAAACTGGAGAACCTGAGAAAAATGCACACGACCACGGGGAGAGCATTCAAACTCCAAATATACATCAGGCGTCAGGGTCGAGATCGGGATCGAACCCATGACCTCCTGTTACTAGGCGAGGTAGTCAACATCTCGCCACTGGCGAAAACACCGGTGTAACTGTCGACCGCATCAGAACATCAACAGGCCAGTGTGCAAATCGCCTTCATAAATGCAAAATTCAAGACGAAGCCACAGCCGTGTGACTGTGGCCATACAACCCAAAACTACGGACCACATAGAAAACCTAAAAAGACACGAAGAAACACATAAAGGCACATATAGACCCACAGAGACTCGTAAAGACACATAGAGATACATTAAAGACAAGCTAAGGTTTGTGATTGTGGCCATGTAACCTAAACTATTAACCATATAGTAAACCACTGTTGTCTCGCGCTTCTTCATTGGTGCTGACCACCCAAACCCTGGCCTTCATAGATGATACTCCCTGACAGCACTTGCCCAAACAGTCTATTTAGGCTATTCGGAGGATCTTTGTTTTTGTCAGTATGTTGAACTTATCTGTGGGACCATTTTGTCAGTTCCAAAATGATGAAGCGATAAGAATATGTTTTACCCTTTCTGGCAATAAAACAGGTGTTAAGATGTTCAAACGTCAATAGTGGCTACACCAGGCTGGATTTGGTGTAGGCTAATCAGTTTAAAAAAACAATGCATATATTATCAGAGCATGTTTGTTTGCATACTTTCCACAAGTATGCGTGTTTCATGCGAACTTGATGCCTTGAAATATGTATCTATTTGGTGTTGGAACGTCTTGACACCTCCTATTTTTATTACCAGAAATGGTCAAATATATTTTATATATTTATAAAATATATTGTTAGTTCGCACTGTTGGTAGCCATCCGTGCTAATCAGAGACAGGGGTGTTCTTCTGGTTGAGGGTTTGTGTAACGCATAGGTGCTCAATCGGCCACAAGGGGGCCCCGAATCAACAGATAAACGAGTAGCAACAATGTTAAGAAAATATTTTCAAGAACAAATATTATTTAATATTAACCTGCGGTCTACCGTGGACCAAGCTCGACTAACGCATCTGGCTATCGCATCAATAGAGCAGCAGAAAGTTGCCCTTTGAGGTATCCCTAGTGCAATGGGGTCGGCGTGAAAGCAACACGCACGATAACGTAATTGTGAGTATTGTTCCTTTAAATCGTATTAACACTGTCACTGTGAGTCTGTCTTCCTCTAAACCCAATATACGGTGCAACTAGAAAAAATATATAATTATAGCCTACATGTTAATGTATACGGGTAAAACATCCTTAGCTATTTCAGTAAAAGTGAGTCTTGCATAGCCCCCCCCCCTGCCGTTTAAATAGGTAGTTACGCCCCTGATCGGAGGTGCGGTAATGAGTCTGTGGCGTTACCTGCCTGGTGGCGAAGGGCCATCAGCTGGGTCCTACCTGATTTTTAGCCGTGGCTCATCTCTTATATCTGATCATTGCTTTTGTTCAGTTTGTTATCATAACTTAACTAATGTCAATTTGTAAAGCGAAGCTGCCGCAAAAGTGTTTACTCACTCTCAGAGAGAGAGAGGACGACTCGAGGTGCCAGGAGGAGGAATCACAGATAAACGAGAAAGGCAGCAGCCACGCGATGAGCTGGCGGCCAACAATTGCCCAAGCTCTGCAGTCCTTTTTGTGACGTTTAATCCACGCAGAAGCTGCCTCTGGTTTTGTGAATGCACCAACGGCAGGAGCCCCTGTCTTTTGTCTCACCGCGCAACAGGGTACTGGGCTTCCTACAACATCCCGTTCTACAGGTCCATATACGAGCTGGGCGGATACCAGAGGCTGAATGACTATATGGGGAACGAATACTCCCATCAGCTGTCATCGCGCGCCAAGATTTTCCGTCGGGATCAGAGCAAGATCAGGAACGTGGAGTCTCTAAAGGCAGTGCTGCGGTACAACGGTACTGCATAACTTTATACAAAACTCAGTTGTTTTGTTTACAACTCACTCTCACACCACACTTTGGGCAGCAGGGTGGTGGCGAAGAGGTTGACACACGTGCCTTACAGCAAGAAGGGACTATCTTTGATTGCCCACTCAGAGCAGCTTTCTCTGTGACGTGTGTATGTTCTGCCCCTGTTATACAGGGAGAGTGAGTGAGTGGAGTTTCTATGTTCTCCCCCTCTTCTGCAGTGTGAGTGAGTGGAGTCGGTACGTTCTCCCCCTGTTCTAGTGAGTGAGTGGAGTCTATACATTCTCCCCCTGTTCTAGTGAGTGAGTGGAGTCTGTACATTCTCCCCCTGTGAGTGAAGCGTGTATGTTTTGTACGCGTTTGCTGTGGGTTTTCTGTATTTCTCCCATTGCTTAATAAAAAAAAAACATACACAGTTGTATTGCCCAACACATCTGAATCCCTGAGACATTGCCTGCAAATGACTCAGTTGAGATCGCACGCAGCAACGATCGCCCCTATTGAAAACAAACATTTGCAGGACCCTCTTGAGAAAGAGTGTTTTCTGGATAAACAACAATAAAATACCAATGTAGTGTACACACATTAAACCTCGTGACAAACCTTGCTAATTGGCTGTGTCGGGTGGTGGGCCGGTTTAGCGACACATTTATAGTCACGCGATCTAACCCAAAAAACCTCTAATGGATAATATTGGTTAGAGATACATATTGTGCCGAATGCTTTGATTGAACCATTATATATATTTACACAAAAGTCATCAGTATAGTTGTGCATTGAACTACGACCGATATCTGCCAGAGAAGGGCGTTTGCCCATAAACGTCTTGGCACCAGCATTGTTTGAATGAAGCCCGACTCTGCTGATGAGACACTTGAACGTCAAAACCGGTCCACAGTTTGCGTGTGTAAAAAGCAACGCTGCTGAAAATGTTTACCCTCAGAAGGCCGTATGGCTCATGAGCATATGCAACAACAAAACTAGTTTTATGTGGAGAGATAAATACGCAAAGGAGGAACATTGTCTGCTTAGTTATATCGTTAAATACATTTACTTTGTATGAATGTGTGTGTATAACACTGCAATGAGCTTCATTATTTCGCCAGTATCACTCGAGTAATTTGTGATTGCTGTCATGCAGTTTTGTTGTACAGGGTATCCGAAAATTAATAATCCAAAAAGCACGTTGAATTGTTGTAAATTTAATATGAATACACGTAAGAGACGTCTACGTTTTTACATAATTTAAAATGTTCATTGTATTGATTACATAATAGCGAATTTTTAATACATTTCTACATGTCGCCCATCGTTCACTATAATCAATCTAATTTGGCGTTCAAAATCTGATAAAATGTTTTCAAACACAGCTGTAGGGATGGATGAATGACACAGCAGCATCAACAATACGATGTTCACGTTCTTCAAGGTCCCTAGGTTTGCTAGTGTAAGACTTTACTTGAACCCCCCCCCCCCAGAGATAACAGAAAATATAATGGTGTTGTCGGGTGAACGGGTGGATTTGTCATTATATCCGAAAATGGCGTTCCTCCTGAAACAAAATCAATAGACATTCACAACAAACTAAAACGTATGAGTCTAATGCATATATTCATATACAATTTCTGTTACTATCTGGAAAAACAATAAAACTTTATTTTTGGTACATTAATTTTTGGACACCCTGTATTACCTCGTCACAACCACCATGGGCAGTCCCTGATCTCTGCTGGGCGTTTTGAGAAAGTGGTGCAGCGCTCACAACCCTTGAACCCCCCATCCCGTTCCCTACACAAGGCGGAAGGTATTTTACCTGCCGCGAAAAAAATTAATGTCGAAAGGATGATGCATGATCTCGTGTGCCAATGAGCGGTAGTGTAGCAATTAGCATCCTGTCGGGCAGACTGGTTGTTGTTGTCCTGTACGTGCCAGAGGGGGAGGCTGTCACGTGGCTCTGTGCCTATGTGGGGATGACGTCCACTCACAAATATATTAAATTGACAAACATTTTTTCATTATTTTGCTTGCATATCTGGTGCTCTAACTGTACGACAATCACGTGTAAAAGCATTCGCGGAAGACTATAAACCCGGCGACCCGAGCTCGATTCTCGCTCACGGGTGACGATTATCTGAACCATTACTGGGCCTCCCCTAGGTAGACTCAGCCTCAAATTAGTACCGGGTGTGATTGTATGAACACCACCAAGAAATAAACAAAGGTGGCTGGGCATGATGCTGGCCCAACCATCCCATAATGTGCCGTGCCAGCCTTAATAAGTACCTCGCTAACAGAGCTTGCCCCAACCAGTCTGTGAAGGCTATACGGGGAGATCTTTGTTTTATGAGCAGCTCGGCCAGTCTAAATCGACTTGTCCAAGCAAGGTTTGGACTTCATGAGTTCCACAACTGAAGGGGTCGTCACCGCATCGCTGTTTCTGAAGGGTACAAGACAGATCGCTACACGTCCGGGAACCCCTGCAACACCATCTGCTGCCGCGATGACCTGCAGCCAAACACAGGGAGCCCCGTGGGCTGCTATGACACCAAGGTACGAGTCCGTGCGGCGGGTCGTGAACGAATTTCCCAGCTACCGCCGCCGCCGTTGCTCGTGATTTTCTGAGTGCCGTGCTGCTTGCAGAGCCGGCTCTCCCCACCGGGGTGACAGAAGATGGAAATCACGCCGCACCCGAACGTAAAACTCGCCCTGGCGTAAAATGGGGAACAGGAGGATTTTTCCACAACTCTGGCTGTTGCCTGATAAAGCTGGTTGTTGTAATTACCTGCGAAACGTCACAGTACTCGCATTGTAAATGTTGCAGTCGGTTTACTCTCCATCTCACCGGTGTGCTGAAATAGTAACGAATTGGCATGTTTTGGCTGTGTCGGATGGTGGTGGGTTCAACGACATTTATATTTACACGATCTAACCCAAAACAACCTCTTATGGATGATATTGGTCGCGACATCCTACTACGTGTTAAAATGCAGACATTGTCGTGTCCGGAGAAAGCAGAAGAAGAGCTGCGGTGGCTTCTATCATTTGTTAATGCTGCGTGCCTAAGCAGGTGGCGGACATGAGGATGGCAAAGAAGTTCATGACGTCTGCGGTCAATGGGCCAACGGTGGAAGGAAAACTGCCCGCGTTTTCGTGGTCGCCTTTCGACAACATCAAACACGAGGGCCTTCCGAACACGTACAAGTTCCCGTTCGTGACGATGCAGCCTACCCTGTTCACCATTCCGTAATCGCGGTGTCCATCGGGGCTGTGTTTTTTATTCCTTTGGCGCTCACAGGCATGAACACAGTGGTGGATTTGGCATGACATTTGCAGGGCGGGAACGTGCTCCAGTATCAGATGTCTCGTGCTTCATGGCTTTCCAAGCTTAGATGACTCACGCTTCACTGCTTTTTAGGTATCCAATGACTCATGCTTTACGGTTTTTACAGCTCCAGATGTGACACATGCCTAATGGAGCTTGCTGCTGTTGTTGTTGCACCACTTGCGTACGTGCGTCAGTGACGGTTGGGAAAAAGAAACCCGAGATGGAATGTTACCAGAGATGGATCCTTCACCCCCCCCGCCCCAGAACAACAAATCAGAGCCATTGCGCTGTCACTGTCCGATTTTATTCGAAAAGGTGAGCCCATTGCAGTGACAGTGGAGACCAAAACTTTTGGCAGCACTTGCGTTTAAAGCATTTGTATTTCTTTACTAATGGCTGTGCTGGAATTCGCTTCATGTAGGTAATTATTATTTGTGCTCCACGTGTTTGCGGAGCACAAATAAGATGAGCACGTTTGGCTACGTACGTTTTTTTGGGTTAGATTGCATAAATATAAATGTGTAGTTTAACCCGCCCACCACCTGACACAGCCAAATAGTAAGGGTTTGTCACATAAACAAAACGTGCCAATTAGTTACTAGTTTAGCACTAACCGGTGTTTTGGAGAGTAAACCCACTGCAACGTTTACAATTTGAGTACCGTGACGTTTCACCGGTAATTACAACCAGCCTGATCAGGCGACAGCCACAATTGTGGAGGAATCCTTCTATTTCAGTCTTAAATAGAGGCGGTAAATGTGATGTTGTCACTTGTGAGGCAATCAGGTGTGAAGACCAGAGGGGATGGGGGTTAATGTATTCAAATAAAAGACAATGGATATCTGTTATTGCTTCGGTTATTCACAGTTCATAACCAGTAATGATAATTTTATCTCCAACGGGAAAAGTAATGTAAACGTATGACACAATTCGCCAATACTTAAGGATTATGATGCTGTTATAATGCTCCATCCCAATGTAAAGCTATTCAATGCTACTATGGCTGTGCAACAACAAAATAAAATGCTTTTCTAAAAATATTGAATCTGCGCATGCGTGGTATGATTATGATTTGTTGTTTTAGTCACGAAAATTTTAAAAGATAAATATCTGGAGCATATGGTTCAATGGGTGTTGTTACTCGCAGAAGCAAAATTTTACATACAGGCTTTAGTGACCAATATCCATAGGAGGGTTTTTTTTTCATAAGATCGTGTAAATGTGTCGATAAACCCGCCACCACCCGACACAACCAATTAGTATGGTTTGTCACGTAAACAAAACGTGCCAATTAGTTACTAGTTCAGCACACTGGTGTGTTGGAGAGTAAACCCACAACATTGACAATTCGAGTACTACGTTTCGGCAGTAATTACAACCAGCCTCATCAGGCGACAGCCAGAGTTGTGGAGAGTCATGGGGTGGAGCAGTGGCACGGTGGGTTTACGGCACTGCATTATAACAGGCGATGCAATTTTTTGATTCGCAGACAATGCTCGCACCAATTGGCACGTGATACATGAACCCTTCCTGGACTCTGCGGTCACCGATACGGCACTGACCAGTTGTGATGAAGTATGGTCAAACAATCCCCGTAACCGACACGGGTTGGGTAGGCCTTCATAAACCAGTGGCGTGACAAAAAGGTAGCGCATTGAAAAGTAAGAACAAGTTTTACCCTTTATGGCAATAAAAGAGGTGTGAAGAAGTTCAAACACCGCAGCACATTAGTATTATTATTGTTTGATAATGACTTTGTTGATGCTGCTGCTTCTGCATTTAAAGTGGTGCACAAGAAAAATTGTGATTTGTTTGCCTTTCCTGTACTTTAGCACTCCGTAACGCTATTTTTTTGCATTGTTTGTTGTAACGTTCTTACCCCATGCCCCTTCTGCACATCTGTCAAAAAAGTGCTTCATAGCTCATCGGATTCCTCTTCTAGTATAAATAAAAATTCCGATGCTGACAACAAAAAGTTCAACGTATTCATCAATAGCACTGCGGCCTTCTAATAAAAATAAACATAATAGGTGACGTTGTAAACATTGGCCCTTCTTCACAGCACAGAGGCCAGAGAGGTCGCGTGGTGTATTGATATCATTAACTGTTCTATTTTACGTGCTTTAAAGGACTGCCATTGCCCGAAAAACGGCACCTGTTTATACCGACATTCGTTTTAAAGGCCACAGGAGTTATTGACGAAGATGTTGAGTTTATTGCGATTACGTGCAGGTGTTTGCTATCGACATGTCTGTTATACATGTCATCATATGTTTGTTATACATGTCATCGGATGTTTCTTATACATGTGTGTTATACTTGTTTGTTTTACATGGCATCAGATGTTTGTTATACATGTTTTATATATGTTTCCTTGCATAAGGTTTCTATTTGGTGTTTGAACATCTTAACACCTGTATTATTGCCACAAAGGGTAAAATGTATTATTGTTTCATACTTATACATGTTTGTTATACATGTCATTAGCTGCTTGTTATACACGTTTGCTATACATCTTAGTTATACATGTTTGCTAGACATGTTCGTTGTAGATGTCATCAGATGTTTGTTATGAATGTTTCCACCTTATGTTTACGAACTGCTCCATGGCTTCAAAGCTTCGGCAGAGACTCAGTCCCTCCACAGGTGCCCGAGCCCAGCGTGCCTGCAGAGCTCGCTGCTCTGTGAGTGGGAATCGATCTGCCTCCACACTCGTGAGGAGCTGTGCTCATATTCTATGATGAAGGAGGGTGCCGCGGTGGCGAGATGTTAATTCCCTCGCCTGGTATGCAGGAGATTGCGGATTCGATCCCGACCCTGACGCCTGCTGTTTATTTGGAGTTTGCATTTTTCTCTACCCGTGGTCGCGTGGATTTTTTTCAGGATCCTCCGGTTTTTCCCTCCACATTTAGAATCAACATCACACGTTTAGAGTATTTGGCTGCTATGCATTTACACGCGATAAGCCACTTCATTGAGCTATCATTGTGATATTCGGGTTTCTTCTGAAAAATAGTTAAATAACTCTGGGCCTTACCTAGTTTAGTAGTTTAGTTTATCTGCCCTGACAGTATCATCCCACCATCCACTTCGGCCTTCTCTTCCCCTTGAACATCGATCTACGATCGCGCGGAGACCACTACAATTCCTGAGACATCAGGGCTCAGTAATTAAGTGGTTTTATTTTATTAAAATTCAAACAGTGACAGACATTGAAATCTGCTCCACTCGTCAATTTTCACCTTGACATCAGGGCTCAGTTATTAAGTGGTTTTATTTTATTAAAATTCAAACAGTGACAGACATTGAAATCTGCTCCACTCGTCAATTTTCACCTTGGCTTTCATCACCTTGCTCAATTCAAGGTGCGTGTTACATCAAATGTCCAACACCTGGGATAGTGCTGTTTTTTGCTGTCCGCTAGACGTTTTGGGCCTTGACCTGCGATTGCGATTCCACTGGGCATTGTTATAATTGCAGCTTAAAATAAGGGGCGCCTGCTTGGATTACTACCGGCGTATGGCCCGCATTAACCTCTTAGATGAAGGGATCGCGGTTTTCCGGGACAAAGGAGGGTGTTCACGATACCATGTTAGAGGGGGTCAATAGAATGCCCTCCTCTGGATTTAGCAGGGCCAAGCTCTTGCGCAACCTCAATGGCACAAGCATCTGCATGGCTGACGGAACACGCACTGTCTGGCTAACCGTAGCCTGCACAACCGCATTGACTGATTTATATGTTGTGGGGGATTTCAAAATATGCAGGTGATGCCCCGATGACATCTCAATACACCCCTGGTCCACCATTATTTTGAGGGGTATCTTGCATAAAAAAACCCGTGCCCAACAAGCAGGACACTGCCAGAGTTTTGGAAATCAACACAGGCCCGTCCATTACCACTTCTCGATCATGCGACCGACTATCCCCAAACTACCCCCATTCGCCGCTACACATGGCCCACAAACCTGCTTCAGAGGCCGAGGTGACGCCAGCAACGAACGAAAAGTAGGCAACGAAATGAGGGTGGCCGAGGCACCTGTATCGATCAACACCCGGACCTGCACCAGGGTCAACAAAATAACAAAAGCAATGACGTAAATGACAAATACAAACAATGAAGCAAACAAAAACAACCACATATAAATAAGAGCAGAGATAACCAAATAGACATCTGAATCGAGATAACCAAATAGACAGAGCCAAGTGAATAACATTCAAGAAAATTAAAACAGTGCACAAACAGCAATTAACATTAAATTAAAACACCTTTCCTTCAACTAAAGTTCAACACAGGAATGAAATGTGAACACAATTATGTGGTGGTGTGTGTGTGTCCTGTAATGTCCACGTGCAATGCACATGTATAATGTATACAATGTACATTATACATGCACATTAAGTACATTATATATATTACTATTGTACATGCTCTATATTTACAAATATATATAAAACCCATTCGTATATTATAACTCTCAACAAACTCCCCTCCGACGCGTTCAAGGGGCTGACGGCGCTGACGTGGCTGAGCGTGAGCAACAACGAGCTCAAGTTCGTGCCCGCTGGGCTGTGAAAGACCACGTGCGGCGAGTACGGGAGCTAAGGCACCAGTGGTAACCCACGTGGGTTGCAAATACGGGGCAGCTGGTGGCTGTGGTGGCCCGCATGGGGCCCAACGACCTATTTCAACCCGTGCGAAAGCTCTTGTGCGATAGAAGCTCTCGACCTGCATACGTGACGTGACGGTGGTGATGATGTCATACCTGTCAATCCCTTATCAGTGCCCGACCTTATTACATACCAATTCAGACCTTATTGGTCACCCCCGTGCCCTTATAAATCTCAGTGTTCATCTCATAACGTCCCATCACAAGGGAGAAACAGAAAAAATAGACAAAACATGTTTTATTGCCCGTATTGAAACGGATGTACGCCGTACGGACCTGAAAACTCAATATCCCTGTACAAGAATACGGCTAACTCGTATGGGTTGATAGGTAAGTGATGTTGATGATGGTGATGTTGAGAATGTACCTGCATGATGAGGAAGTGGGGGATGTTGACGTTGATGTTGGTCATGTTCATTTGGCCGCCTGGAACGCTCTTCCGAGAGTAGGAAGCCACCAGAGCTATGCACTTTTAAATCATCTGGATTGAAAACTCATTTATCTATAACTGCTTTTTGTGTTCAGTTTGTTGTCCTTCCCCCGCACCTCCGATTAGCGCGGTTGGCTACGTATGGTGCGAAAGAAGTTCAGCAAAATGTACATACATTAGCCAGGGGAGGAATAAAAGAGGTGAGGTAATGGTGCCGTGTGTCAGATGACGTGCCCTCATATTGAATCCAGCACAAACCGCAATCCCACGTGTGTTTGTGTGTAAGGAATGATGAAGTCGTTCTCTCGCATGTATGAACCAACGTCTTGGGATGGAAATGTAGCATTGCCAGGGATGAGGTCAGCACTTGGATTCAGGAGCGCAGCTACCTACTTCAACGTGGGGGGGGGGGGGGGTGGGGGCTATGTAAGATCCGACTGTGCCCCCCCCTGCTTTCTCCCG